GTTTCTTTGCACTTCCTGACGTTGTCTCCTCCTCTAGATCTTTTGCACAGCATTATTCAAAAATGAAAACATTTTCTTTACACACTGGACTAAATTGTGTTATTTGTCTAATTTTCCCAAATAAGGATCTCATTTTTTATTCTGTAAAGAGGCTTATTTTTGTACTCAATCAACATTAATCCAAATCAGGTTTATTTACAAGTAGGTTTACATATGTACTGATTTTGTTCTTTTGTTATTGCTGCATTGAAGTTAGAGTGAATACTAAAAAAGCTAGCAGAAAGTAAAAATGCACCCTACAAAAGCTGTGGTCTCAGGCGGATTAAACATATTGATTACAGTGGGTCTTTAGAGTTCTATACAAAGACATCTGAAAGTGAGCATTACTCACTTCCTTAACCATGTTTTCCTGACCAGTATTGAGCATCAACCCCCCCCCCCCCCCCCACTGTCCAAGCATTTCTTTAACCTTTAGGCTACCGCTGACCCCTTTTATGCTGCTGCACAATGTTATCATCCGCTCTCCCAATCATATGCATCAGACTATCTGCTTGAGTGCACCAAACATGGAGGAGCTACAGTAGCAGACAATGGTTATCCCCCTCTCCCTCAGCTACTGTACATCCTCTCCTGTGTAAAGGCTTTTTTTTCCTCTCCAAACATCGAGGTCAGGTCAGCCATGTCACTACGATAAAAACCTTCAAGGGTCTTCTCCCATTGAACGAGGCAATCTTCTCCTGAGTATCATAGTATGTTGAGGAGGTAAGTGAGGTTGGACGGAGGAGAATGAACAAATTCTTACTTCCTAACCGATTGTCATGTCAGTGGCGCGATTACCGTAAAGTGACAGGTCGGATTCTGTTGCCAGGAGGGACAGGGCCGATTTGTGCACTTTTATTTATTCATTATAATTGTCAGCTGTCACTATTGCCTCGGCTCTCTGCTGAGAAGCTTCAGCTGTTAACCCTTTCTGCAGCTTTCTGTTGAGCTACAGCAGCACGAGTAGTCTGTGTTTACACACTCAAATATCGCCATGTGACGTTTTGTGATAGCATACTGTGTAGAGCCTCAAAACACCATTCAATAGTGTTTCATGCAAAGTTTTTTTTCATGCTAATGTAGAAAATGTTAATTCAGTCATAATAAAAAGTAGTGCCATGCTGTTTGACATTCAAGTGTCTGCGATTAACACAAATATTGTTATTGCATGGATAATTGTTTCTCAGGATTTTACACATTGTGCATGCATAAGGTGTGTTATTCAAACTGTCACTGTTTCCTCAATTTGGATCAAAAGATAGAAATGTAACCCATTGTACGGTGGCTGGGAAGTGCAAACAAAAATCAGTGTCAAGTGTGAGACACTTTTGCAACGCCTGAGAAAAATCAACATTTTGGAAAACAAAAGAAAAGGACTTTTACAAGGGACAGAACAAATACACATTTTAGAAAACAAATTTACAAGATGCAAAACACTGGAATGCTGGAAGTGACCCGGAAGTGATTGAGTGAGCGGACGTTTAGTTTGTTTTGGCGGAAAGACTGTGTGGAACCAAGCGGCAACCTCCGGTCTTTAAAAATGAAGACAATGGGAAAGTGCAAAATCCTGCAGTTTGTCGAGTGTCAGCTTGAGGATGGCTGCGGAAACACAGGAAGTCACATACGCACAACAGATTTACCAATTTGCCAAGTACCTACTCAATCTTTCAGTATGCAGTACCTACTATCCGTGCTGTCTACTGTTTAGTACCTACTATTCAGTATGCACACACAGTAGGCAGATATTTGTTCTTACTTCGATTCATTCAGAAAGGAAGTAGCGTCATTTACGTTACCCGACCCGGCTGCATTCACCTGTTTTTTTGGGGTTTTTTTGTTTAGCTTTATTCAAGAAGAGTAATGCGCATATACAGTCAGCTAAACAAAAAACAATATCACAAGTAAAAGACAGATTAAATAACTAAATAACATACAGCACATAAAGGAAGGTACAAATGAAAGACAGTAATATACAGAATATAAAATAAAATAAAGACGCATTTAAATCATTATTTAAATAGAGGGGGAAAGGTTTTATAATAATGCAGACATTTGTTACGTTTTTTGTTGTTAACTAAAAGTAGCGATTTCAGTCGGGACTTTAAATTAGGTTAAATTAATCCACGCTCGTTTGTTTTGATTTGGAGGCGCACGTGACGTGAAGATTTACGTTTAATTTCGCACAGCATTGTGGGTGGTAAAATACAATTCATTTCCTGAAAGCACGCATCTGATCCATACTGCATGAAACCCAGAAGTTAGTATGCATACTGAAATGTTCAGTATACTGCGCGGACCCAAAAAATGCATACTGAATGACCACGAAAGTTCAGTATACTGAAACTTCCTACTGAAAAGTACGTACTGCATACTGAACAGTGACAATTCAGAAAGGGCCTGAGACAGGATTTCCAGCATGGCGGCTGCTGCCGATGAGCCTCCAGAGCCCCCTGCAGGAACAGATGGCTGACGTCACTCAGGCTTCAATATTTACAGTCTATGTGTCGAACGTGTTATACTGTACGCAGTTTCTGGTGACCAAATTATGTTTTGTCCATTTTGTGGGACCCACTAGAAGACTATAAACTTGATTTTGCTTTTTGTGTGATTGGTCTCTGGAAAGAATCTTCATGAGGGCCACTTTTGTTTTTTATTTCTCAGTCACTTCCATTAAAGTGTTCTGCCACTTGTAAATGTGTCTGGGCGTTCGGAAAAAAGTGTTTAGCATCTTGCATAAACCTTTTCTAAAATGTTAATTTGTTCTGTCTCTGTCTGGTAAAAGTGTTTTCTTGTCATTTCACAAAAGCTCAAAGGGACCAAAACGTTGTGATTTTTTCTAATAAATTGATGATGCTTAGTAGGAGTAGAATGTTAAAATGTTGATTTGTCTTAAGCTTTGTAAAAGTGTCTCACACTCATTTTACACTTCCCAGCCACCGGCTACCATTGCGTACAGTATCACAAAATACTGAAATATATAGACACATTCCTGCTACACTGTTAGAATAACTATGGTTATATTCTCCCTCACATCTACACTGACAATGAATACCTGTTGACGCGTTTATCACATTGTCATTTGCTGTGATGATCATTTTTGATTTGTTACATGTGGAAGGAAACTCGACATGATGACGCAGAGGTTAAACTGTAAACCAGTGTGCACTCTGCTCGTAAAGAAGCTTAGCACAGAAACAAAATAACATTTATAGTTTAGACTATGGAGAGATATTTAAGTCACTGTATGATCTGGAATAGTTTGGGATCAGTATTGCTTTAGTATTATGTGATGAAGATTGTGAGGACTGTTGGGACATGAGACATCAGATACTACGAAAAATGACAAATTTGCATGACGTGCAAAGAAGAAGGATGATGTTCAGCTTGTACAATCCTCCAAACCTACCTAAGCAGACATTTACACTGAGGCTACTTTACTCAATGATGTACACAACACAACAAACGCCCTGAAGGACAGACCAGGAATATTTCAACACAACAACTCGATGGCATCCTGCCGACAGATCAGTGAAGCTATAAACACTTTGGGGTCCAGTGGAAGCTGATGTGCAACAACTATCACAAAGTCTTGATCCATTTTATCAACAGTATTCATTAAATGATTTCTAATGTGTGACAGTGTTTCATTTCCAAAAAAAAAAAAACTTGAGTGTGATATAAGATCAACCAATCACATGAGGATGACTGGTCACGTCAGCTAACGTCTCACCGCCTTCGTACAGTGGAATAAAAGAAGAGGCACTTGAACTTGATGAGCTGTTTTTGAGTGCTTATGAAGCAAACATTCACCATTTTATTCTGCAGACTACAGAGCCATTGTTTTATTCATATTATGCACATGACATAGTTTTGATTCAGTGGAGCATCCTGGCTCATACCCATGCTGTCTCTCAGATTTATTGTACAGCATAGTAACAATAGTTTCTGTTGTGATTACATATTCAAAGAGTGCAGAATGATTTTTTTTTGCATTTTCCATGAACACTGACGTCTGCAACACGTCGTACAAACTATTTCTGTTACAGCATCTCATGACCCAAGGCTGCAAAAAATACTCACGACATCATGAGCGATACTCATGAAACAACTTCCTTTGTTTATCATCCAATCTGATACATTTACATATTCATCTTAATCAACCCATTGGAATTTAAAAAAAAAGTCTCTCTCAAGCGACTTCAAAGAAGAGAAAATGAACATTGAATTGTAAGTAAAAGGACTGAAGTCAGCATCTAGCCCTCACCTTTATACAACGTGTATTACTGAAGGAAATGTGGCAGTTTTGCTCTTTGCTCAGAGGTCAGACGGAGGTCAGGGGGTTAGCAAACTCTCTGACCTTTAGTGAAACCCCTCCCACGTCTTTGCTTTCTGTTAGGAGACGTGTTGACCTGTGATGGGTCTTATTGACTTGTTTAAGGACGCTTCATTCAATTAAATGAACCTCTGCTGACCTTAACTGAACTGTAGTGACCACAGAGAGGAGGAGGAGGAGACTAGGGTTGTCACCACACCAGAATTTCAAACTAAGGTAAACAAGACACCAAAGCAACAAAGACACAAGTCCAAGGCACCCAATATTCAGAAATATCATCCAACTCCTGCATAAATATTTGTGCAATGTAGACAGGGCTCTCTCTCTTTCACTCATGGCATCTTATGGTTCAGATATGACTGAGATCTAAAGCTTGTGTTCAGCCTTGGTCCGTGCTATCAATCATTCAAATATAAGGAGGTTGTACTGTTTTAAAACACTTGGTATCAAAACTTCTGAAGGGACTGGCTCAGACCATATCCCTTTTTCTCCTCTTGTGTGACCCCCCCCCCCCCCATGCATGTTTGATTTCCCTTCATGCAGAAAGAAGCCAAAAGCTTCCAGAAACCAAAAGAACATTATCAATTTTTAATCCAGGACTTCACTGCCTGTGTCATCCTTAACCTACTTTCCTCAGCACTTTGGGGGAAGCGCAGTGACTTGTTGCTGACCATGATATCTCCCCGGTCATACATTAAACATCAGGACGTTCTGCATTGTGCACGAAAACACAGTACACCATCGCAGCCACAATATGGCACTGTCTCTGAAAAGAAAATGCTAAGAAGAGAAGCACGTTTGTGAGTAATAGATCTGCATGTTGGTAGTGGATTGTAATGTATGCACAAAGCACACAGGCACGTGCACACACACATACACAAACCCCCCCCGCCGGTCGGCTTGACATTTTGAGCGTGCAGGTCAGAGCAGTGCATCCTTACCCTTCTCGTTGCTGTGTAACCACGGAGACAGATGTCAGCAGGCTGAGCTCTCTCGGTCGAGGTGTATAGCATGCCCCGGCCACAGCATCACGTTCACAGACCACCCGAGGAGGAGCAGTGCACGGCGAGGAGCCACCTCTCCACAATCTGGGTCAGAGCTGACGGAGACATCCTTATGGGGGAGGAGAAGAAGAAGAAGAAGAAGAAGAAGGAGAAGAAGCAGCTAATCACTGAGGGGGGGGGGGGGGTGCAGACGTCACAGGCCCACATGGATCCAAACATCCAGCCTCGGACACATCCTCAGAGTGCAGCTGCTTCAAATCCAGATGCAATGAATTCCAATGAGGCTCAAATCCACGAGATTCTCACATCCACGCTCGACGAGAGCTCACGAGAAAACAACCCGGTCTGCACGAAGCATCACTGCCTCACTCAAACACTCTCCTCCTCCTCCTCCTCGCTCTGACTCTGCCTAATTCACTCCTTTATTGCTCTATTTCTGTCTTTCTCTGATGCTCACCCATATTTCCACTTCACTGCTCTCTCTCTCTCGCTCTCTCTCTCTCTCTCTCTCCTATTCTCAGCTGTGTCTCAGTGCTGTGCTCAGCCTGTGCCCAGAGGATGTTGAACATGTGTTCAGGGTGGGGGTTGGGGACTGCTGACTTCATAGGTGGCACGCTTACTTCCCACACTGATAGGTTAGAGAGGACGGCACTGTGCGCTCACATTTTGGGAACAGCAGCATCGAAGTGACAGAGGCAATGGATGAAAATCTGCTCGCCCTCTTTTTCTCCCTATTTTCAAATCAGGGCAATTGTAGCTGAGATTAAAGGCTGTTTTCAAACGATCAAACTGTACTCGATTGGCGTAATTTTGTAAGATAGAAAAGTGAGAACAGGAAGAAGGGAAGGGTTATTTTTATGTCTGCCTACTGAATAGGGAAAAAGAAAACAAACCGTACAAGCACAGTTGTTTTTGTTCTGCCTCTTTCTAGACAGAACAGGGGCACATTTTTCCACATTATACGACAAGAGCAGAGGGAAAAAAGGAAGATGTGGGAGGCTGAGAGTGTGTAGGAAAAAATGGACAAACAGAGAGGGGGGGGGAGAAAGGGAGAGGGAGGGGGAGAACAGAGAAAGCAGCAAGACGGAAGAAAAAGGAAAAAGCGAGAGAACAGAGAGCTTTGGAATATTTATAGAAGGCTGGAGAGACTGATGTAAAGAAATAAGCTCCTCTATTTCTGTGCTGTGACACACGGTTGCATCTCGGATGGTACGCTGTCAGGCGAAGTCAGATCAAAGGGATCCTATGGTGCTTCTGCAGCAACGATGCACAAAAAAAAAAAACGCAGCAGAATGCAAAGGAACGTACGCGTCTTCACGTGAGCAGATCGCACACCAAATAATCGCTTCAGTTCAGGCTTCAGTGCTCGCTTCAAGTGTTGCTTAAATGGATGTTGATTCAGTGATCTGCTGCAGAGAGATCGCCAGAGTGCACTTAATCACGGAAACGATGGCCTTGTGACAATCATGAGAGCCGTTACAAATTAGGTTATTTGGAAGAGGAGAGGGAGGAGATGAAACGGGGATGGGGTTTTTGGGAAAATGTGAAATTCATTGGCTTTATTAAAGACTTCTGAGTGGGAAGTGAGGTGTGTCTGTTGTCAGAATTCAAATCTTTTCATGGTTAATTTAAGGGAAAATGAGTCGAGTCAAAATGGATTTTATATGCAAAAAGACATGCAAAGTGTGTGTGTGTGTGTGTGTGTGTGTGTGTGTGTGTGTGTGTGTGTGTGTGTGTGTGTGTGTGTGTGTGTGTGTGTAGAGACCAGGATACCTCTGGGCTTATGCTGTGACCTAGATTAGGACTTGATGCTCCCAAGCCTGGCAGGCTGTGTGTGTGCGTGTGTGTGTGTGTGTGTGTGTGTGTGTGTGCCTGTGCCATCCATAGAGTAAGTGTGTTTGCATGCGTGGCTGGATGTAGAACAGAGAAGAAGACAGCAGAGTGTGTGTGTGTGTGAGACAGGGAGGCAGAGAGTTGTGTATGTACGCACTAGAGGAAGCTGCATGGCTGCATTGCTTGTGTGTGACTAAGAGCCTCAGCTGGATGACATACAAAGAGGTGAATAATCGCGCAGTAAGAGAGCTTATCCACAGCAGCGTGCACACACTGATGAAAAAAAACTGCACCGCTTCTGCCTGAAAGGGAAACCTTACGTAACTCAAAACGCAGAAATAGGAAAAAAATTACCCGAAATAATGAAAGGGTTGTAAATTCTGACATGGATGCTAAAGCATGCCAATTACTCTGGAAGATTTGACTATCTTGGTTTGTGCTTAACAGATTAGCACCCACTCTGTGCTGTATATAGATTAGGTGCTTATTGGCTCGGGATTTTCCTTCACATATGGTTTTAAATTAAGCTTATGTTAATGCATTTCCAGGCTTTTTAAAAACCTACTCTGACCCTGCCTTTGTGCCTCATCTATATAGCCCAAGTTATTATTACCTAATGACTCAAATCTATACATCCTTTCTCCATGAATGTGCCGCTATTCAGTGCATTATACCGGCCTTATGTAAGAAACAAGTAGAATCATCTCGCCCCAGTTCATCCCTGACCTGTCCTCTGGTCAAATTCATCTCCACTTTATTAAATAGTTAATCCCATGCAGCAGGAGCGTGCACTGAGAATATATGCAAGAAAACATTCTTAATTTAGCCTAATGGTAAACAGCTGTAAGAACAAATAATCTTGTTTCAGCGTTCATGTCAGTGGAAACGGTGCCAGAACTCTGTATGTTTCAAGAAGGTTCAGTCCTTGCCTTGTGATAAAAATAGCTGTTTCACACACACACACACACACACACACACACAGATGGCGACTCTCCCACAGAGTCATGCATGCTAACGCTGACGGGGCGGGGGAAATGATGGGAAAAAACTCATCAGCAGAGATTCATCTGTAAACACAAGCGACTCATTTGCTGCAAACAGGAAATGAATCACATAAGAAAATGTAAGTTAACTTCAGAGGACGACACGCTGGGAGTCCTGGTTTGGGGCCTTGGCTGTGCAGAAGAATCAAAATCAAACTCTTGTGAACTCAAAGTGTCAGGTTAGAAAGGCTCCGAGCAGACAGGTGTGTTAAAGAGGATGTGGAAATATTTGCTCCACCTGATCCGTCCTCTTCAAAATAAAACCAGGATACAATAACTTAAGTGTTATATGATTTATTTTACATTTTTCTATTAAAAGGCTTTTTAAAATCAAATTGATGTTTTGAAAAACAAACAAATGAGCAAGTCTGAAACTTGATTAAAACCTGAGGGATATTAGAGATCAGAAGAAAAACACAACCATGTAAAATGAGTCAGTCTCCACACTGACGGCCTTGTTTGCTTTTGTAGATATATTATTTTGTATCATTTGTGATATGTTGTGTTTTCATTGCGTATCTTTGCACAGTAGAAGGAGGAGGTAGTTATACGCACATCATGTAGGTACAGGGCAAAAGCAGCCGACTGAGGAAGAAGAAATGTCCGCACTCGTGCTCGATTGCCACAAAACTGATTTTTTTTTTTAAACAAAAGTTGAGCAGTCCGACTCTTTACAAATTGAGCTGCGGGTCCCTAATTCTGAGAGCTCGACTAACCTACCAGCAGCTAGCAGAAATGCAAAATCCACAAAGTGCAAAGAGATGGTGCTGAGAGAGCTGAACAGAAACTGCACGTTGTGGAGTTTGATGAACACAGGAAGGCAGTTTAAACCTTTTTCCCCTCTGGGAGACGCCAGGAAAAATGTAATACAGTAAGACTCTATTCTCAGGATTTTAAGTTTATATTCTTTACTCCCAGTTTCCTTTGTTTAACAGACCGACCAGTTAAACTATTTAAAGAAGTGAAACATTGGACAGGAACTCCTTGTCTGTGCACACCGGTCCTCCTGACCATCAAACCATTGAGGTGATTCAAATCTTTAAAATAGTCCAACCTAAAGAGTATTCAAACCAAAAATGATCTTCAGATAGAAAACTGAGCAGTGTTGGCTAAGTAAGCAGAGGGGGGCGGGGCTTAATTTCACATACAGTCAATTCCCATCTTACTTTAAGTGACATCACACAGATGACGATCCTTTGCATGAGGATTGTTTTTTACATGCGGATCCTGCGCTGATCTTTCCAGAACTCAGCGATCCCCTGAGAAATAGCTAACTCTGCAAGGCCCCTGCACTCGCGGGGGGTAAACCCCACCAGTGCAGTGCCCTTTACTCCGACCCCCTGCTTCCCCGCCAGCTCTGCGACCCTCGCCGTGATGAGTGAAGCTGGAGCGTGACAGTACGGCTGGCCGTCAATGCTGAAAGAAGGCCACGGTTCACTTGTGGTCGTGTAAACAGTTGGACTCCCCTTCACGCTTTCCACATTACAGGCGATTTCCACAGCGCCCTCATGTGGCAAAGCCAGTACCTGCACCCCAGGCACTCCCCCCGGGGTCGACTCCCTGATTGCTGTGGCGATGCTGTGTCCCATGGTGATGTCCTGGGTGTCGATGGTGACGTTACAGTTCATGACGTATGGACTGGAACCGACACCTGCAGGATGAAATCACAACTAAGAAAACTCATTTACAGAGCATGTGGCCTTGGTTCTCAGGGTTTTACAGAATGAGTCATTAAATGCAAATGTTCGACCTTATAACCTTTAACCTGCAGTCAAAATACATATTAGATATTAAATCCTGAATAAAGCTCTTACACTTGAAGCAGTTTGAACACGTTTCCTGCATGAATGTTTTTCATGTTTTTTTTGTTTTTAAAGTCTCAGCTAAATCGGCTTTATGAGGTTTAAAGGTCTACATTTTTGGGGGGCTTTTATGCTTTAATTTAGAGACAGGACAGTGGATAGAGTCAGAAATCCAGAGTGGGGAATGACATGTGTGACAGGAGTCACAGGACGGATTGGAGCCTGGGCCGAGTACTTGCAGTTAGAGATGCACTAATCCACTATTATTCAGTTCTGATTCGATTCTGACACATACCATACAGATACCGATATTCTTTTAAATCCCGATGAATTGCTGTGTGTTGTTTTGTGCATTGGGCTGGCTTCACGTACAAACAGGAAGTAGCGGCAACAGCTGTCAGGTTTTCAAATGAAATATTTTAACCTGAAGTGTAAGAATTGTATTTTTGATCACACAGAAGGAGCTGCTCCATCATGTCTGAATGTTGTCATGGAGAAGATTTGTGCTCACTTACAGTTCAGTGTAAATGTCTTCAAAGTGAGACTGTGCGAGCTCAGAATGTTTAAAGCGCCAACGATTCTTTCTTGCTGGGTGACGTGGAGCTGCACCATCAGTCTGATATCTGATATGTCAATTACCTCCAGTAGAGGGCTGAAGCCTCTGTACTAACCACTAGGCCACCGGCGCCCCTCTTTATGGGTTTTAATACTAAAGTTGTTTTGCCACTTTAGTAATGATGCTGCTTGAGCTGAAACAACACTCCTTAAGGTAGAGTCTTGTTGTCTTTATGAGATTCACTCACAGGACAGGAGATATGGATTGTTTTTGTTTTATCGAGAATGTGTTCACGGTCGCTCTGGAGACGAGGGATGATTTACGATTTAAGTGACCGATCAATAATTTATACAAATGCTTACTGTGTAATATTTAAAGGAGCTGCCTCTTTGAGCACTAACATGGGATGTTTTTTTGATCGGAGGACAAATAGTTTGATTAAATACTGACACAAAGTTACCTGTGATTTACTTTCAACTCAGATAATTAGTAAAAGAAGCATTTTGATTCATGTTTACATTTGGTATTGTTTTTTTATATCTTCTTATTCTATTTGAGTTATCTGGATTATCACTGCGTGTTTTTTCATTCTTATTTCCTCCTTTTTTATTATCGTCACATTCTGCGATCTTGATTTCTTTTACATTTTATTTGAGGATGGATTACAGGGTGGGGGGATAAAGCACTAGTTAGAGTTACATTTTTCTTGTATGAAATGAGCTTTACAAATAAAGTCTGATCAATTATTGATTGATATAATAATGATAACTATACCCTTACACATTGCACTGTATATCCAGCGTATTCTTCATAAGAGAAAGATGTTTTATTCAGTTTGTATTTTTTATTTGTATTTTTTTTTGCTAGGCAAATATTTGTTTGAGGCCTGGTTGGAGCCCTCCAGTGGTTGTGTTTAAAGATTAATTTCTCTTTCTGATGTTAGTGTGTTGAATGTCCTCATTGTAGTCTTAGTGTGGAATATTTGAGTGTTGTTTTGTTTTTGTCTTTCCTATTATTTTCATGTCTTTTTTTTTCATTTCTTGTTTTGATATTTTTGTCTGCATCGTATGTCTAGGTTCCCCCTCGAAAAACGATATCGTTAATCTCAAGGGGTTTTTCCTACTTGGGTTGTCATGCTACATTAAGTTACCAAAAACATTGTCAACATATCTGTGCTGATATTTAGACTGATGTGTAGGAGAGCTTTTGTTGGATTCATTCCTCTCCTGCACTCCTGTCTTATATCATAGATGTGATGCTTTAAAGCTTTGGCACTTTTTGATTATGCCGCTCATTAAAATGACAGAGATTGTATCGTTTTAAAACACCTGGTAGCTCTAACTATCGAGGTATGGAATATCCTGACAACCTCCCCTCTGACTCACCGGTGAGACCAAACTGCATCTGCGGCCGTGGCCCCATGTCAGCCCTGATCGCCTGTAAATCTGGAGTCTTCTTGAACCAGCCCATCTCCTTCCTCCTCTGCGCCAGCCCCCTCTGAAGGGGGGAGTCTGCCCAGCCAAACAGGAAGGCGCTGGTGCCCTGGACGCGCTCTGTGAGTCCCCGAGCCACAGCTGAGCCCCGGCAACAACACAGACATGTTAGCCAAACCAGCAAATGAGGTGTATGTCATCACATGTACACCGTTTGAGAAACACGAGAGCAGAAAGAGCGTGGCAGACAAAACACACCCGAGGGGTTCTGTTAGGAAAGTATGGACACATGGAGCTCTTGTTACACGCCTGCATAAAGATGATGCTTGTTAGTGAGCTGGCCAGTTATTAATCTGCAATCACAGCACACAGATTAGCATGCAGAGTGCACACTTCAGGCGTGCAGGCTTCATGCTGGGTTACTGCTCATTATTTGCAGGAAACACGGCTGCTAAGTCATCTGCTAAGCTGTGAAACTAATCAACAGCTCAGGAAGCTGAAGATGTCACATCATCACTTATTAAACACATTTAAATAGACTCCACTGGAGAACTACATGGGATGTATGCAGACTTCTACTGGAAGCCAGGGATGTAAAAAAGAAAACATTTTAAATGTAACATTAATGTCAACGACCAGAATCCTTTTATACACACCCTGGAAGGTTTGGGAAGAGTCTTAGGGGTTAGGCATGAAGGGAAATCCATCAGAGGTTTACATCTTCCATTACATCTGTTTTATAATCAGTGTGAAACTAAACTATAATCCTCTGATGTCTTTTTCTCCCCTGATACTACAGACTGACTTTAGTCATTTAGACTTTACATTACAAAAATGCTAAATGATCAAAGACTTGCATCTTCTATTTCATTTTGCTCTCATGCTACGACCTCACATGTAGAAATATGAGTGAGAAGAAGGAGCTGCAGAGAATACAAAACACAGACAATATAACGTACTGACATGAAGCCTGAACACACACACACACATGAACACACACATATAAACACACACACACACAGACACACACACACACACACACACACACACACACACACACATGAACACACACACACATACATGAACACACACACACATGAACACACACACTCAGATCAGCCTGCAGCCCTAAACACACCCCACAAACGCATCTCTTAATACGTCTATATCTGAAAAGATTCATATTAGCAAGTATACCACCTCAGTCTTAGTCCACTCCTCTGTTCTGTCCCTTGTTTTCAAACATTTTATTTAAAGTGGTTTTACACACATTATAAAAGTGAAGCTGACAAGACGTAATAAACCGAGTAAAAAGGAAAATAAGAAACTTCTACTCGCTCACACACACACACACACACACACACACACATACATGAACACACACACACACACACACACACACACACACATACATGACACACACACACACACACACATACATGAACACACACATATAAACACACACACACACACACACACACACACACACACACACACACACACACAAACACACACACACGCACACACACGAATCCATACACGAACACACACACATATAAACACACACACACACACACACACACACACACACACACACACACACACACACACACACACACACACACACGCACACACACGAATCCATACACGAACACACACACATATAAACACACACACACACACACACACACGAACACACACATATAAACACACATGAATCCATACATGAACACACACATATAAACACACACATGAATCCATACATGAACACACACACATATAAACACACACACGAATCCATACATGATCACACACACACACGAATCCATACATGAACACACACACACACATATAAACACACACACACACACACACGAACACACACACGAACACACACAAAACACACACACACACACACACACACACACACACAAAAACACACGTACACACACATATAAACACACATACACACATGAACACACACACACACACACACACACACACATGAACATACACACACACATGAACACACACACGCATACATGAACAGACACACACACACACACACACACACACACACACACACACATGAACACACACACATGAACACACACACACATATAAACACACACGAACCCATACATGAACATGAACACACACACACACACACACACACACACACACACACACACACACACACACACACACACAAACACACACACACACACACACACACACACACACACACACACACACACACATGAACATACACACACATGAACACACACACACATGAACATACACACACACACAGGAACACACACACATGAACATACACACACATGAACACACACACACACAGGAACACACACACATGAACATACACACACACAGGAACACACACACATGAACATACACACACACAGGAACACACACACATGAACACACGCACACACAGGAACACACACACACACACACACAAGTAATAAACACATCTCACCCCGAGCCTCTTTAGCACATTCCTCCACTCCCACCTCCTCCCCCAGCGGGTAGATGGGGATGAGGTCGACAGCACCCATACACGGGTGAACCCCGATGTGAGCGCGCATGTCGATCAGCCCGCAGGCTCTCTCACACGCAGACAGAACACACTCCCCTAAAACATAAGAAACATGTCATCAGACATACTGTCAAAGCAAACGTCCTACCGTGATGCGTGTGGAAAAATATATATGAGCAATATGTACAAACAGTTTTGAAATATCTTCAGCAGGAAGCTGTGAGTTTGGCTGTAATGTCGTCTTCTAAGACAGTTAAGCAGGTTTAGAGTAAATTCACTGAATGAGCATGTTTTAATCCCCACACACTCACTCACAGTGACAAACTGTGTATTGTATCTGTGTTGGTTATTTGCTATTTGTAATCTGTATGACTGGAGGCAGACAAAGACAGAGGGCAGGATTTAACATTTTCTGTTGACCATTATCACCATTGTTTACATTTTTACTTTGTACTACTTTGTTGTTTCATAAATAGTTAAAGATCCCGTAATATCCTCATGTTCCCCTTTCATGCTGTCAGTCTGTGAAACCTCTAGAGAAGCTTTGCAGATCAAAAACCTTCTTAGTAAAAAGCCTAATTTCTGAAACTGTTCATTGCAGCTGCTGTCTCTCTCTACGAACCCCCTCCCCATGTGCCCACTTTGCTCTGATTGGCCAGCTCTCTGGAAGCCTACAGGGGGGGGGGGGGGGGGGGGGGGGGGGAGGGCAGAACGCTGCAGGGCTGCAGAGGAGGGCTCATGTAAGAGGTTTGTGGCTTAGGTCGAGGCTTGAAGCCGTCTTGTGAAAGTCTAGGTTTCATATCGTGGAGCTATCGCATATTTTGCAGAACAAGCCGTTTAGCGCCCTCTGCAGACTGATCCTGGGATTACTCATGCACGCGTTTACTTTGTGATCTGAAACTTCGCCCACGTTTAGTTTGTTCATCCAGCATTGTTTTTAAAATCAAGACAATGATTCAAACTTCTAAGGTCTTTGATTTTAGCAAATGCGTCACAGTTACAAGCCCACTCACTGTCATCTCTACAGAGTAGGACGTGTTGATGTTTGTGATACGGATCAGATGCTTTTTTTTTTTTTACCCTGAAACACCTAAAACATGGCTGTCTTCAAAGTCACCAGACTCTTTGGTGTTTTAATACGTTAGCCTTGTTGAAAAACAACACAATAACATCTACAAACTAAAGTGTCAGATAGGTAGATAAAGTCCTCTGTTCTGCAACGTAAAATAACTGTTTTAGTCTCTGATGTCTGGTGGCTTTTAAGAGAAGATCTAACAACTATTTCTGGGTGTAAAAGCATCAGAAAGGATCCAAAAAGGGGGATTCATTTTTGTCACGCACTTTGAGAAACACCCTGAGCCTGTCAGCGACAAAAAGAAGCACTTTATCCGACACAGTCTGATCCCCCACGCGTGCACTCCTGCTGGGAAACGCTGCAGCCATCACTGCCTTCTTTAGAGCTGCCGGTTGAAGAAAACTACAGGAGCAACTCAAAAACATGTCCGACCTGTTAGTGAGTTATATCTGAAAATATGTCAAAAAAAATAAGGCCAGAGTTTCAGATGTTTTCATTCCCCTCTAAATCTTTCATCCAAAGCAGTAGATTTATAAATGTGATGTCTTATTTATCCTTAAACTGAACAATTTCAGCAAATTTGGGCAAATTAACCCAATTTATTTGTCTTCAAAATCTAATCTAGACAAATAGGACTCAAATCCTCAACAGCTTTGTCTGCATTGTCACCGCCGTGTCTGGTACAAGCCTTCAATAAGATCAACTTTTCACCGAGATCTCTTCCAAAAAATGTTCATCCTGAATTTTTTTTTGTGTGTGTTTAAATCCCTGACAAAGCTTATTAAAGGATTTCGCTCCTCTCAGAGGATTGGCGAGCAGCGGACAGAGACTGAATCCTTGCTGCAGCGCCGCTCTTCCCGGTGGAGCTGGAATTTGTGGAATATGTGGGCATAATGTTTTGACACAAATGAAAAAAGGTTCAATACTCACTGATGGAGTCGATGCCGGACACGATGGTGATGACGGAGCGGTTGTAGTCCCGGTCGTTGAAGATGTTCAGCACTGTGGTCCCCTCTCGTCTAACGCCTGAAGTATGATCATTATAAAAGGTTTAAAAGTCAAAATCACACTCCAGATCATTTGACTCCTCAGTTCACTGCTCTCTTCATAACCCTCTAAGAAATCTTGTAAAGCAGCAACTTAGAGAAAAACCAACCGTTGCTTCAGTTCTACTTTGAGTTGTGTAGCTTGAGAATAAACAGAGAGACAAATTTGATATAACTATTGAAGCCTGTTATTATAAAAAAAACTCAGTTGACATCAGGTGTGACAATGATGTAAAACAACTCTCACCTTCAGTGTTGTATAACGCCGCCTTGGCTACAGTCTCAACCAGGTCTTTCCTGCGAGCCTCCGAAACGTTGAGGAGACAAGCCACCAGTCTTCTGCCCAACGAGCTGGACGCCATGATTCTGCACGAGCAAAAATACGAATAAGTCTGCTGCTTAAAGTGTAAGAGAGAAGTCAGTGATATTATACTGTGTGTCCCACCTGAGAATATCTGGACAGAGTGAAGCCATTTCTTATTCCACATGCATGAAAACAAACGTTTGAGTCACTAAAAGTTGAATTCCTTGGTAATAAAATCAAATCTGCTTTTCTTGATTCAACTTGCAGTGAGCTTTTGCTGCTACAGCCTCTGTTCAGTTTAGCATTTGGTAGCTAATGTTGATAAATTGCTGCGACACTGTACTGATTTGATTTGACTCATTCTAACATTCAACTCAATTTCATAAAAGTTATACTCACTAATGAATGAATGAATGAAACCTTTATTGCCCCTAGGGGGGATTTGCCTTGCACACAGAGAGCATAAAATCAACTATCAAAGTTCTAGTTTGTTAATGACCTTGCCCCTTTCAAATATCTGAATACAAGTGTTATAATTGTTGATATTTTTTCTTTTTGGAAAATATGAAGAACACTTTTCACTGCATCTATCATCGACTCTGAACAAGAAACTAGGCCTACAACACTTCAGTGTCATATTAACAATTCTACAACTTTAATAATAAACTAAATATGATGTTTTGTAGTCCAGGTCTGCAGTGTGTACCATGAAGCTCAAGAAAAAAACACCAGAAGACATCTGACAGTATCTCAAAGAAATACGAAATCAATCATAAAGTTTGGTTACCTTGGGAAATGCAGCCTCCTTTTATATTTCGTGCATCTGACGTGTTAATAATTGAACAGTTTAATAGTTTATAAATCGTCCAGTGCAGCTTGTGGGAAATGATTCAACTGAGTGCTGCTGCTTATCAGTGCTGACAGTCTGTAGAGTTACAGAACATGTACAAAGTCCAGTCTACCTTCATGAGTGGCATGCAAGTCAAACACATGAAGCTTTGTAACTTCACTTTGAAGTGTGGCATACTTGCGTTATACTGATGTTTCAGTACCACCTGCACATTTACCAGCTGATACAAAGAGCAACTTCTGTCACTAAACACCGCTACACACACACACACGAATCACCAAAAAACGCTCCCGAACTTTAGCATGTGTTGCTAAAGATGAAAGATTTCAGTGAGAGGGTTCACTTCCTGTTTCCAAGTTATCAGCTGTCAACAATTATGCACTTTGCGTATAGTGCGTGTTTATTTACTTAAACACTCTTAATATGGGAGAATGTCAGCAGGATATGTCTTTATGGATGATGCATACAATGAAACGACGTATTCTAATTAATTGATGAATGTATGAGATTTTGATAGGAAAATCAAGGCTAAATTAAAACCGAAATGAAAGAATGAAAGAATGAAAATTCGTACTAAGTGGGACCTACCAGTTTAATGTGATTTATGATTGAACAACAAGTTATTAAGATTAAATTAGAAATTATATTAGTACTGTACTGATATTATTAAATATCTATTTCCTGCCGTTTCCGGTTTAATTTGGCCAAAGATTGCACACCTGTTTATCATTTTCACCTTTTATTTTTATTATATATTTTTTGAAGAATACAGACATGTCTTTTCATGCTTTATTCATTTTATTTTTGCTCTATGCTCTCGAATAACGGTGTTTTTTTTTGTTTTTTTTAGGTTTTTAAAGAAATATCAAAAACGGAAGTAGATATCAGGGTACCGCATGATGAAAGAGAGAAACAGACATGCGCAGATGAATCGCTCAGTTGGCAGAGTTTGTTAAACAGCGCCTCTTCGTGACCATAAAGAGAAATGCCCGAATTAAATTGGAATTGTAGAGTTTTTATTGACGCTGGTGAAATGTGTGACTAGCGACGGAAAGCACACAATGACCAATGATAAGTATTTCGGCTTTAAAGCCACCTACAGGCTCCTCTAGTAATCTATTTCGCTGCTGATAGCAAAACGCTGTGAAGCTAGCAGAGAGACAGTGGCTAGCTAGTTGACAGCAGAAGTATGAACGAACTTAACTGCGTTTAAAAGAAAAAGGCCTTCTCGTTTTCTTATTTAAAGTCCATGCTACATGCCCGAGCTGTCGCCGTGGGCTTCACTCTCTTAACTGTGGCCAAAACGATGACCTCTGTGGCAGCGACGGCATCCTCCGAGCCCCGGGGGCTGCATGCATCAGTCACCCCGGATGCACGCACCGGGAGCCCGCAGCAGAGGCTCCAGAAGCTGCTGGCGGTGCCGGGACACCAGCCGAGCCGGATGAACGACCTGCTGCTCCTCCGGCCTGAAACAGACAGTCCCACTGCAGAGGAGAAGAGCAACAACAAGCATGTGGTGTTTTTTCACGGTGACATTCAGGTCAGTGTGATTGAGGGGTTTGAAGTGTGTGTGTGTGTGTGTGTGTGTGGGGGTGTGGGGGGGGGGGGTGGCTGTGTGGGTGGGTGTGTGGGGTCTTAAGATCTGGGAGTTGTCTTATTTATCGAGGTGTCAAGATACTGAATGATTAAGTGTTTACTTTTTGTTGATGTAATTCCAGTCATTAACACTTTAAAACCTTAATCACAGAATGAGACAGGTGCTTGTTGGAGCTCACACATTATGATTACTTCATCCCTAAACACCTGAGACAGCTCAGTTTGGTGTTCATAGGTCAGTTTGATGTTGACAGGTCAGTTTGGTGTTCACAGGTCAGTTTGGTGTTCACAGGTCAGTTTGATGTTGCAAACCCATTCAACATTAAATCAGTGGAGAAAGCTTTGATTGATCATCTGTTTTTGTTAAAGTGCAAATGCAGGGAACCCTAAACGGACATGTATCAATATCTGCAGAAGTCCAACTATCAAATAATCAACCCATCTTTATTTGTATAGCAGCAGGCCAAGCATTGATAATAATGCTTCTGATTAAATGTTCAAAAGCTTGTCATTAGATCACCCTACTGAACTTCATTTGTCGTCTGACGTCAACAAACCATTACACCTGACTTGCAGAGATGGACAATGAGATTCTGTCCCTTAAGAGAGTCTCTCCGCGTTGACCTGGTCAGGTGCTCGTGGGCTTTAGGGTCTATAAAATGTGTGTCACTTCATGTTTAATGTGCAACCACATGGCTAACTCGCAATGAATCACATCGAGGGCAACGTTCATGTTTTCTGCAAATGTAAAAAAAATTTAAAATGTTATAAACAGCACGTGACTCCTCAGGGGTGCCAGGAAAGGTTATCAGCTCACTGAAGCCTTAGACGTGCTACATTTTATGTTAAAGTCTGGCACTTCTTAACCCACATAGTGACATTTACATATGAGCCAATTCCCCATCGCTGCCCATGGCATCATGGCAGTTTGCCTTAAAACATAATTACTGACGTGCATATTAAACACGGGGCTGTTCCTTTCACTGACATCTGATGTTTTAAAGAAGACAAAAATCATCGCAAATGTTACTGTCTCTGGGTAAAAGTGGTACATTGTGTCCTTACTGCAGGAGGAACAGTACGGGGCTTTTGAAGGTTAACGAGGGCACTTCTGTTTTGAGTAAACTCCTCCAAACACAATCTGTGGAAGTGCCTCTCTTTAATTGCTGCAGATTATGCTGACAGATTATGCAAAGCTTTCTCTGAGGCTTTTTTTTTTTTTTTTTTTTTTTTTTTAAGTACGCATAAGGGACACCTACTAATCAAGTGTAAAAAAATAAATAATACGTAGGAGTAAAAGGAGATTAAACATCGGCCATTTGTTTCGCCTTCTAACTGACCTCATTTATTAAACTGTTTCTATGTCCGATCCATCTCCTCATTGTCCTTGTCTGCAATTCATTAGGCAACTTTCCAAGCAAGTGTTAATATTCCCACAGGCTGCTGGTGTTTTCCAGCAGTCGTTCGTATGCAAAGGAGGCTGTCACACTGATGTCTCCATGTAAATAAAGTGAATGAGGTCATTGTGTTGAAGACCACACAGCCTGACAGCACACTGAGAAGATGCTGCTGATGGAACTAATTCATTGTGTCAAAGATGGACGGATGGGTGTGATTTTTTTATTTAATTTTTTTTGTACGTCTTAAAGTGTTTAAATGCCGACTAACGCTGCCTGGGCAGCCTCTCTTCTCTCCCAGCTGGAGACGTTTATGCTAAAGCTGTAGACTGAATACAAGAAGTAGACATAACCTCTTTGTTTTACTAGAAGTGCATTCTTTCTAATTGCCAGCAGGGGGCGACTCAAATCGAGGCAAAAAGAAGTCAGACTGGATAGATCTAATGCTGGTTGTGCGACTGTTTATTTCATGCAGACAAACTTTGAAAACTCTGTGAAAATATGATCTCAGGTTTTTACATTTCATGAAGCAACACAGCCCCTCAAGGCGAGTCAGCGAGCGACGGTCTGCCTTAAGATACGAGAACACCTCAAAGATACAATCTTATCATATTGATATCATTACAGTCTGCACCGGCTCTGTGTTACTATCAGCTCATAAGTAACATGTCAAGCACTGCAAACAACCACATTCGACCTTCACACAGGAATATTTATTTTCTCTTTGATGGGCAAAGGAAAGATTTAGGTTTCTGTTGATATATCAGCCATGTTAAACACTTCACAGACTGAACTATTTCTGGGTCGTTTCAACCTGAAGAAAAGGTAGCTTACTTCTCAGTTGAATTAAAATCCAGTTTGAATGTGACCAATTTTTTAAATTTTATATACTTTATTAATCCTAGAGGGTAAATTCTGGTTTACACTGGTTATTATTCACACAAATACAGTAGGCCCAAATTACACACATGTATTAGTAGAGAGATGTCAGAGTGGGGCTGCTACACAGGGAGCGCACCAGAGCTGTTGGGGTTCGGTGCCTTACTCAAGGGCACCTCAGCAGTACTCTAGAAGTGCCCTTGCACCTCTCCAGCTACCAATCCAACTTCCATATCTTGGTTCACTCCGGGACTTGAGCCGGTGACCCTCCGGTTTCCAACCCAAGTCCCTACGGACTGAGCTATTGCCGCCCCCATGATATTGAAAAGTAACAAAGAGCTTTAAAAAAGTACAGCTCTTCAGTAGAGGTGTGACTTCTAAACGGCCCAACATCTAAACATTTAGCAATTTGGTCTGTTTTTCACACCACTGCTCTTCAGTCATATTTCAAACTCATCGCTCCTCACAGCCTTATCTGTGGCTCCAATATGCTCACTTCTGACTCTAAAAATGACTTAATGTATATCTTGATGCTTTAAATGTTAGCACACGAATGAACTTCATATTTTCAGTCCATTGAAAAACATTTTGTCTCGAGCATAGTGACTAAAAGATAATTTAGATAAGATAATTTTTATGCAAACTTTGGATATAAGGATGTATGCAGCTGTTTGTTCTAAGACAGAGACAGATGTAGGGTGATGATGAGCAAGCGCCTTCTTTTTCTGTTCCAGTTGTTTACAGCAGATTTAAAGTATTTGTGTGTGCGTGTGTGTGTGCGTGTGTGCAGAACTTTGAGGAGGACATGGCTCTGCAGCCGGAGGGATCTCAGTGGCTCCGCTGGAGTCTGGAGCAGGTCGCTCTCACGTTGGGCCGACGCTTCCCTGACCGCCATGTTTGGATGGTCAGAGCCTCCAACATGTACCTCCACAAGTTCAGCTGCTACCACAACTTTGTGGAGAGCAACATGTTCGGAGCACCGGAGCACTCGGCTTACTCCACTGACTTTGGAGCGTTTCTCCACCTCAGGTTTTTTTTGTTGCTCTTTCTTCTTAGTTTAGTCCAATATAAAGCTCATTTAATTGATGATTTATTAACTTTACTTTTTCACAGTAAAGTGTTAGACATCTTGGGGTGAGGCAGACACACTGACATGTTTAAGCTGATGTTGTAAGTTCATCTTGTACTATTTACACATCCAAAAGACGGAGCAATCTTATCTTTCATTTAGAGATGCTGTTGTGATCACCTGATGACGACACCTCAGGCAACTTCTGAGGGAAATATATAATATAGGAGTATATAATATATAATATCGGGCTACTTTGCAGCTATTTTGTCGATCTGGAAGTTAACCGTAATTGGAGAAATTTTGCTGAAAACTGCTTCATGCTGCATCCGAGACTGAAGCAAAACAAGGGGCTCAAGAAGGGATAAAGGAACTTAAGAGTCTGGTGATTCATCTCAAAGAAGTCACCCTTACATCTTATACATACACATCAATAGATAATAACACTTTAATATTAACCCTTTTCAGACTGATAAGGGTGCCGTAAACTAAGCTCAGCAGTCATCACGTCTTTGCACATTCATATAGATTCCATGACGGCGTCATATTGGTGTCCCAGTCAGACATGCACACACACAACGCTGTGCTCCCCCGCTGATAGTACTGAGAGGGGATCACTTCATCCCCCTCACAGCATTCAGATTGAAGGCCAAACATCACAGGGGTGTAAATATTGCGGCTTGAAACATCCGTTTGAATAGGGCAAATGATTACAGCTTCCTTATGATCTTCAATACAATATCGTCTTCTTCTGATACCACAGCCTTTCAGACGTCTCTTATTCATGTTGTAGTCGAGAACTGCTCCTGAAGAGTGTGTATGTGCTCTCCGTGTCCTCAGCAAGACAGGCTGTGAAATAATTACAGAAACCGAGCTCTGCCTCAGGCGCCTTTTTAGAACCGGTTTCTTTCTCACCTCTTTTCAAACATTTCCACTTTTTTCCATTATTATCAAATGTTTAACAAGTTATTTAACAGTAAAATGTCAAAACAGCAAATCCAAAAGAAAGACCAAAAGTATAAGATAATAATAACAACATGGTTACACACAAGAAATCCAGTAAAATGTGTAGGAGTGAGAGTTCTCTCAGTCTGACATTTCTTGCCCCTCAGGGACCTGCTGAGCCACGGCATGGAGCGAGCTGACCTCCCACACCCCCTGCAGCCACAAGGAGGCGCCGACAGCATCCCCTCAGGCTTCTCCCTCATCCTGGTGGGCTTCAGCAAAGGCTGCGTGGTCCTGAACCAGATGGTGTACGAGCTGCCTGGGGCCAGAGCGGACCCCCAGTTGTCCCACTTTATCAAACAGATCACAGACATGTTCTGGCTGGACGGGGGGCACCCGGGGGGCAGCGAGACCTGGGTGACTGACAAGCAGGTTCTGAAGGAACTGGCGTCCAGCGGCGTGTCGATCCACGCCCATGTGACACCGTACGAGGTGTGTGACCCGATGAGGGCCTGGGTGGGCCGCGAGCACACACTCTTCATTAAAACCCTGGAGGAGTTCGGGGCCTGTCCCAGTAAGAAGCTGCACTTTGAGGACGAGCCCCCCTCCATCGAGAACCACTTCAGGGTCATCCAGGAGTTCTGAGCTCTGCTTACATAAAAACAACACGATACTGAGCGATTAGCTGAACTTGTGAGCGCTTTAGATGATGACAGAGTGTCTTATTCGCTGCTCGTACCTCGTTTCTCTGGGATTTAAGGGCTCAGAGTTTGACGGACGCTGGCTCGTTGTACGCACTACATGCACTTGATCCCAGCTTCAAAGATTCCCTGTTAATGTGCTGCATCCTGAACCCCCCCCCAAACTTGACCTACCCCGCGGCTTAGAGTGCTCCTGTTGTTAGGACGCACCTTTTCATTTGGGAACAGGTGTTGTCATCAAACCCTCAAACGGGGACTTTTTCAAATGTCAAATGCACTCCAAAATGCTTTGGTCAAAATGTTGGCGACGTCGAGACCTCTCAGTACCGCTGGTTTAAAAACGATGCTCTCCGTTATTCTAGTGAATGATAGTGTCACAATGTGCTAAAGCTTAAAAAAAACAAGATATATTTCATAGGAGAGGAATGACCTCGTAAAAAAAAAAAACACAAGCTAACTTCTGCTCACTTTCTATATTGCATGAATCCATTGACGACATTGCTTACATTTTTGTGCAATTAAGACAATATGTAGAAGTTTGCTCACAATTTTTGATGATTGAAAACAAGAGATGACCCACAGTTTGGTGTCTAGGACTTGTATTTCTGTTGCCATGGTATCAAGACAGGGATTGATACGGTTTGATTTTTACTAGAATCATATTAAAGTGAATCATTCTGGTATCACGACAACCCCACTCCAAAGCAACAGACAAAATTTCCCTTGCAAACTTGAGGTTATTTTAAAATGACACGGAGCTACCATTGCGGTGAAAAACCCGTATTTTTCTACAGAATCAAATCAGAAATTAAAATTTGGAGTATGTAATTTTAATGATTATTCACAAATTGGTCATCGAGCTTTTTCAGAAACTGATATCTCGTGTTGCATGAATAAAGCATAAACAGTGTTCTAACAAATGATCGATGCAGTACAGGACGCTCCTAAACTCGGGGTAGGACCAAAAGGCGGGGGGGGGAGGACTTTGGGATTGGGTCTGTCGGCTCTGACAAGAATATGCAGATATGAAAACGCCGACCTTTTTCTTTCCTTCTGATTCAGACTCTTACTTTTTGTTGCTGCTGAGCTGTTGATTCAGAAACACGAGTCCTTCATGTTGTTTCAGGTCGATCGTACCTCTGAGAGAATTTATAAACGTTTTCAGATAAAGTGAAGCATGTTGATTTATGTTAATTTAACCCGTCTGTGATTTTAAACTTCTCCTCAAACCTGCACCTGTGTGGAGCTACTTTAAGACAGCTGAATGTCTGAACCTCCTCCCTCGTTCCTCTGAAGAGATTCTTGATTGTACTAAAATGTTGTGGCTCGTTTCTTTCACCAGATACGAGATCAGAAGCGGAAGATGTATTTCCTTCAGTTTGATCCTAAAGTACACCGTCTCACAAACGTTTCTTATTCAAATGTTGCACAGCTGCACTCCGGAAAAGAAGTAGACGACACAAAAACTACATCTGGCACTTCTTTTGGATTTGAATCAGTCCATCATTTCTCAAATTATTCCTTCAGGTTTTTATTTAGTGATGTCAGAAAAATAATATTTATCATCGTTTCCTGATCGACAGGAAGCCTCAAAATGTTTTGGTTTGTCCATGACGCAAAGATAATTATTCAACTGTCCGGGAAACAAACTGAAAACATATATATTTATGACCTGACAGTCTGGGTAAATGTTTCAAAAAATGAATAACTGTTTATCAAGACAGTTAGAGAATCATTTAATAGTTGAGAACTAATCAATAAATTAACAGAAGCGGCTTTTGATTGTATCGCATTTTTAACTGATAAGGAAGCTGAGCTGTGGGGATTTTTGTGTTGACCGCTTTTTTTTTTTTTCAAACAAGAACTTTTTAAACATTTTTTTCTTTCACCAACACACACACGCTTTAGATCAGAAAATAACATTTGTTTTAATTAAATATCAGCTTTTCATTCACCCCTAAGCATGGTAAGTAACTTTAGTGTTTGAACACTTTAACTTATTTTCTTGAGAAATTGTAACTTTCAGACACATTTCCATGACTATGTTCTTAAATGAGAGAAGCTGCCTGATTGTATTAAGAAAATGTATTTTTTTCATGATCTGTTTTCCTCATGTCAGAATCACGGTGGGATTCAGCATATTGACTGTTTAAACTTAGAATATATTTGTGAATGCATCCTTGCTGTTTTTGTGTCGGCGTGGCAGCCTGTGTTGAACGACTTGATCACTCCATGATCTCCTGTATGTAATCCTTCAGAGCTTCTTTGCACTATGCTGATGATGACGGAGGCTTTGCTGAATGTAACTTCTTATCATTCCATTGTGTTTACGACCTGCTGTGTGCCGTTTCAAAGACCCTGAAGGTCTGAGAGGAGTACGGATAACATGAACATGCATTCTGAATGTGTTCTGCAAGGACAGCTCCACGATATCATACTTTAAATCATCTACTTATCATTTTGTTAACATTGTCATCATGACAATTTAATCTTTACATGCAGGAGAGGACAGAGAACTCTGTGAAAGGAGGGCTTCTGGTACTCATTTTGGGGGTAGAAAAAGTTCAGCATGTAGCCACTAAACTTCTGTAATAGCCTCAAATGTGAACCTGGCGTACTCTAAATGTGCTTGTTTGTTGTTGTTTTTTTGTTTTTTTTACCACTGACAGGCTCAGATTGTTATTTCAATCCCTTCAGAGGTTAAATTCTGATTTATTTTAAAAAATAGAAACAGCTGTAAAAATACTCTCACTATCGCAGCAATAAATCTCATTGACAAAAACAGTAATTTACCCTGCAGGACACACAAATTGCCGGTGTACTGCTGCCTCAATTGGTTAGTTTGTATTTGGTTTATTCAAAGCTGACAAAATACACAAACTGACAAACCCAAAAACAGCACTACAAAATAAGCGATAGCGGCAGCTGGGCCGCAGCGAGGTCTGTGGCCTGCAGGGAGAAATTACTGTTTTTGTCAATGAAGTTTGGCGGCTTTGAAGTGTTGTTGTGACTAGCCTAAGACGTGTATTTATTATTCATTTTATCTATTAGTCATTGTAGTTATTACACCCCAAAATATGTGGAGAAAAAAAAAGGAGAGTGCAGGTTTAAAATGAATAGAATTAAGCAGCAGTGTGGAGAAAGTAGAAAATGTAGAAGAACAAAAGGACATGAAACACTCCATGAGATATTTCTACAACCTTTAATGAGCTTTTTCAGTTTGCTTTGTGATGCTTATATATTAGCCTGCAGTTGATCAGAATACAATAAGTCTTTTTAAGTCATTTCAGATGCAATCAGAATGCTCATACATTAAAAAAAATATAAAATGCAAAATAAACAAACATCTCTTGAACATTTATTTGCTTGTGCTTGTGTCTGATTCGACTCTGATCTACAGTTTCCTTCAGTCTCGCTGTGGTCACAGAGAACAGACAGGAATGTTAGCTGCTGCTTCACTTCTAGAGGATGGTCGCCCGAGTGTCAGACGAAGAGCAACTGAACACGTGCACACGCACAGAGAGGTCACCGAGTGACTAGCTGCTGAAAATAACAGTACAATAGCTGAACAAAATAACAAAATTGACACCACAGCATAAGTCATGTTCAAGTGACAGAGGTGGACAATGCCAGCACTTTGTCCCCAATCCTTGGTGCATTTCGTCATCCTGCAAAGTGAGATCCCTGACATCACTGCACTGCAAAACAAGTCCGTCTTCTATTGAGGTGAAGTGACTATCAACGCTGACATCTTGTTTTTGCAGGCGATGCAGCAACAGGAAACACAATGTGTCAATAAGGAGCTTGAGAAATGTGCACTTCCTGTATCAAGTTGCACTATTACAGTCTGGATTTAGATCATTTCAATACAAGAGACCAACTGAAAATAAATGAGATGAAGTAAGTTTCAAGCTTATTTTCTTACACAGTAGCGGAAGAGATAAATTACACTCTGGAGCCAGCCTAGAAAACATTCTTACTACAGGCCCTATGAGATCCTCGGAGATGAACTTTTTTTTTTGTTTTTTACAGTGTGGTGTTCCAGTTTTGAAGGATGACAGCATACGGGTGAGAGCATGGCCGTGGCTGGAGACGCCCATCTCCCCCACACAAAGGCCGTTGTACCAGCTGGTGACAACAACAAACAAAAACACACAATGTGGTCTCATTGTGCTTGGCACCTCGGAGCAGAGAGAGGAATGTTTCACTGGAGATTAAGAGCAATCAGAGATGCTAGCGCTGCTTTTTAGTAGAGGTGAGGTGTTTTTTTTTTTTTTACGACAACAAAAGACTGATTAGCACCTCATATTTCACATTATACACTGATCCGGTCACGCTTCATCTCTTTCTTAAACTGCACCCTTCCTACTTCCTCATCAGCCTGAAAGCCTTTTCATACCAACATGTCTTTACAACCAACAACAACTTAAAGAGGAATTCCAGTATTTTGACAGCAGGATCCATTTCTATAAATATTTGGGGGTCTAAATGACTACTGACACTCACTGAAAAAGGAAATCTTAACCCATCTGTGAAAGAAAGGTGCCCTTTAGTTTAATAATTGGATTGGTCTAATTCTTCTCCCAGGTTTATATTGAAGACGTTATCGTCTGTGTATCGGCTTCTGCCTTAAGAAACCTCCTGGAACAATGAGACAATTTTTGTACCTATATGCCTTTAGACCCCAAAATATGTCAAAACAAATTGGACCCAGTCTAAAAGAAATATAGAATCCCCTTTCAAAGGATTAGTTTGACATTTGAAAAAAATGTTGAACTATTCCTCTCAATACTTCCTTTGAACACATCCTAACTCCTTCATCGGGTTTTAATCTTCCTCCTCCTCCTTCCTTTATTCAAACCATCTGACTCCTCATCCATTTCCACATTTTCTTCACCTCCCAGTACCACCTTCAATCTAAGCGTTGCTTTCACCTTCCAATTCTTAACAGTTTTTTTTAAATGATTACTGAATTCACTACAACCCTGGTAGTTTTCTTGTTTTTAAATAACAGCATGATCATCCTCATTCTCCCACCATGATCTCAACACTTCCTCATAAGACACAAGAGCGTAATATATATACAAATATAAAGTATAAGTCCAGCATATAAATAATAACAGGCCTATAAGAATACAGAACACAGTGAGCAGAGAGAGAGAGACAGAGAGAGAGAGAGAGAGAAGCAGCACGCCCTGAGGAGAGGTCGACAGGAGTACGAGACTTCAGGCAGCCTGAGCCCGGGAGAACAGAGCAGCGTTTTCATGAGCACACTCTGCATGGCTTTGGTGAGGGACTGAACAACACAGAGAACCTCTCAGGGACTCACAAACTAACAGACTTTCATAAATAGCTGGTGTGTTTGCTTATCAGCTCTATACGTGAAGTAAGTGCTAGAGTTGTGTTTCACTGCTGACCGCTGACAAAGGAGAACTTAGAGCTATGTGAGGAAATCCTTTGAGTACATGCGGGTGTGGCATGTGAAAGACTGCATGAGTCACAGGTTTGTTGAGACATTACAGTTTTAAGTTTCTATCACACTATGGAGGGATAAACTGGAATGCCATGAATACCATGCTCAGGAAAAAAACCTCTCAGTTAAAGGGTTATTCTGGTATTTTCAAACCTAGGCCCTTTACTCATATCTTTTAAGGTCTTAATGACTTATAGGTACAAAAATGGAAATGACTCTAGTAGTTGACTAATACCAAGCTCATTCAGGGTGGGGGAACAACACCATTTTTTTTACAAGAAACCCCCTTTTCATTGCTCTCCTAAAGTCACCAGTCTCCACTGACAAAAACAGTCCTTTAACTTTGCAGATCACAGGATCACAAAGTACTCAGCTGACGAGGTCAGTGAGGGGATTTTTGTGTCATCATAAGATATTCAAATATTGTGTTGACTCAGAATTAACCATTTATATCACCTGAGTCACTTAACACAAACAAAGGCAGTGGTAGAATATAAACTCCTGTGTTCCTCAGGGTAGAAATGACCGCTTTTGTCAATGGAGTGTGGTCGCTCTGAAGACACTTTGTACAGACGAGTTATTCTGAGGCCAACATCTGTAAAAAAGTAGGGCCTGGAATTGAAAATAAGGAATTCATCACATTACTCAAGAACATGTTTAATAACCTGAATACAAGCGTCCTTCCAAATGTGGAAGGCACAGCTGTTCAGTAGGAAGCTCTGCAAGGGGTTATTGAAGTGATTTTCATGCTGAGCTCAGGTTAAACTCCTCATGCTGCTGCAGACACGGAGAATATGAAAGACTTTGAGGGAATGCAAACATAAAAGGAATGTTATATTCTTGTGTTATTCAGCCCCTCTGCTGGCTTCTTTTCAACATGAATTTCAGCAGTGTTTCAGGTAGTTCAGACACAGAGCTGTGAGGAGACAACAGCGTGCACCGTCCCTTATTCTCTAACATACATTCTAACATGTAAATGAGCACACTATCACACTTCCTCATTGCAGTGGCACTTGTCTCTTCTATAGAAGTCGAACTTATGACTGTGAAAAAGAATTCCCTCCTCGGTGATAAAAGTCTGCGTATCTTATTTCTGCTGAAGAACAGGTGCAGCAGCTACGCAGCAAGCCGTGCTGCTGACTGAGAACACTTCACCTGCGACTTTAAGGCAGAGTGCTAAGAAGTTAGAAAAGAAAACAGAGAAAACAGAGAAAACATTTAAAACGCACAAGAGAAGTATTGCATAGATTTCCCTAGAATTACTCAACACAAGCCTTCATCAGTACGACTAAACACAAAGAAAAATACCAGAGAATGAAACAATGAAAGGTATTAAATACTTAAAGTTACACACGCTGCATTAGCTGAGATGTGCTGTACAATTTTTACACACTTTAACAGCGATAGATCTCAATATTTATCTGGTTATCTTTGGTCTGAGTGGACGATGTTGGGGTAAGGTAAATAAGTAAGTACTTCTGAGTGTTGGGCAGCTGGTATTCTGGAAGTTTAAAACTATTTAAAAGCTCAGCGGGAGAGATGCTCCCCTCACCCCATCGTTACAGGAATGGTTCAAAAGTCACCGTCTCCAGCGGCGGGCGTCTCCTCATCCGAGCGGAACCTTTTTGCGTGAGAGTGGGGCGACTCTAGGAAGTTCTCCTTGTCTTCAGGGTCTTCGGGCGGGGCGCCCCACTTTGTGCCACAGCTTCTCTCCCTGACAGACCGGGTGGTGGCGAGCTCGGGGCTCAGGCAGAACTGCTGCTGCCACAGCCAGGGGTGGCTCATACACTCTGCAGCGCTGGGCCGGTCCCTGTCATCAAAACACAAAGACAGATCGCTTTAGATCGTCTTACCCAGCAGCCAGTGGGCATCAAAGCTTTTTACTTATCATTGGTTTCATGACTGATTAAAGAATGGTCATACGTTCTTAAAGTCTATATAGCTTTTAAATATATACACTTCTTCTTCAGTCAGAAACTCAAAACATTTTTAGTTTACTATGAGTTATGACAATGTAAGAAAACAAAAATGTATTTTAGGAACAAACGACGGTATGCACACGATCTGAGTAAAACACACAAAAACACACCAAACAGCAGCTGATCAACCGTCTCATTGATAATCAACAGATTCAAATAATTCCAGCTCGTTATGAATCCTTATTTCATCAAAATGTTACACAAAAGTTTGTTTCAGTGAGGTGCTGGTGGAGCAGTGGTTAGTGTGCACGCCCCATGTATGGAGACTGTGGTCCTCCAGGCGGACGGCCCGGGTTCGAATCCGTCCTGTGTCTTCTTTCCCGCATGTCATTCCCCACTCTCTCTCTGATTTCTGTCTCTATCCACTATCCTATCTCTCCATTAAAGGCCCCAAAAGCCCAAAAATAAATCTTAAAAAAAAGATTTTCAGTGGTTAAAGAGCAACATTCATGTGTGTGTGTGTGTGTGTGTGTGTGTGTGTGTGTGTGTGTGTGTGTGTGTGTGTGTGTGTGTGTGTGTGTGTGTGTGTGTGTGTGTGTGTGTGTGTGTGTGTGTGTGTGTGTGTGTGTGTGTGTGTGTGTGTGTGTGTGTGAGCGAGTAGAAGTTTCTTGCAAATGTTTTCATATTGCTTCATTACTGTTACTTATTTTCCTTTTTACTCGTTTTATTACGTCTTGTCAGCTTCAGTTTGATAATGTGTGTAAAACCACTTTAAATAAAATGTTTGAAAACAAGGGACAGAACAGAGGAGTGGACTAAGACTGAGGTGGTATACTTGCTAAAATGAATCTTTTCAGATATAGACGTATTAAGAGATGCGTTTGTGGGGTGTGTTTAGGGCTGCAGGCTGATCTGAGTGAATTCCTCACGTCAGACAGAACTGATCCAAAATAAAACATTACGTGATGCTCGGGTTATCTTGTGGAGAAGAATCTCTCGTCCTTTTGTTCACAGCTCTGTGCAAACATTCCATTTTGATCTCATTCAAAATAAATCATCTGCCTGTGTTTCTATTCTGGGGCTGTCTGTCGTGCTTACTCACTCTGGGGATTTGACCAGCAGCTTACGGATGAAGTCCACGGCCAGTTCGGACACCCTGGAGAGGGCCTCGCAGCTGTAGTCCACACTGACCTGGGACACGTTCAGATACGTCTCCTGCTTGTCGTCCCCAGCGAATGGAGACTCACCCGTCACCAGCATGTAGGCTATGACACCCACACTCCTGAGAAACACACACATGGAAGAGGGAGTCACAACATGCAGAGAAGCACAGGATTACCAGAGGTGTGTTTGAGACTTCACAAGGGGAATTATAAACTCAATTATTCTATTAAATAACCACACCTTCTATTTTCAGAATCCTTGCAACCAGTGACCAAGAAAAAAACCCGACTCAAACTGTAAACAACTATTAGCCTCTGCAGAGCTACTCTGTGGTTTGTGGCTTTACACAACAAGGGATCACCTCCACTGTCATTTACAAATAAACATGTGTGATTGTCTATTGGCTCTGTGTTTCAGACACAAAAGACTGACTGATCTACAAAGACCCCTGAACATGCTCCAGAGTGAAGCCGGTTATGTAAGAGTTAACTCACCATAGGTCAGTCGCTGTTGTGATCGGCTCATAATTTAGGATCTCTGGAGCTGAAAGAAGAAACAAAAGTTGTGATTCAATACTTCCATTTTTAAAATACTTACATATTTGGCTGAATTAGATTGGAGACGCAGCCAAATGTAAGATCCAACTGTTGTTTAGTGATCTCACATTTCCAGTCATTTTCTCTTTTTTAAGTCATGCCACAGTTGTTTAGAAGACCACTGCGGATAATACAGCTTTCTTGTGAGCAACGAACACGGACTGGCCAGTTTGACTTTACTATGTTTAAGATTATAGCAGTCTACCCCGTCTTCTCAGCTAATGATCAGAAGTATCCGTTTTTAGGGGTCAGCCTGACCTCAGGTTGTTTTATTTCATCACTTCTGAATGTATATGCATTTCTGTTCTCTCTCTCTTATTATGGAGTATTGTGTTTAGTTACTCTCTCATTGATTCAAAAAACTAAATGTAACTTAAGGAGGTGCAGGGAAAGTAAATGTTACACAGAGAGGAGAGACAGGGTGATGTTTCACAAGATCTGTGTTATTTCAGGGTCAGGAATGGCTTCTTTTATGAATGTAGGGAAATGCATGCTAATGATAACGGACTATTACGTTAAGGATGTCTTATTAACAGATAATCGGAGGGAGTTTTTCTCTGAAAACTTCAAAGGCATTTTATGAGCATTACAGCTTCTGGAGGATTTTTCTGACTGGTACAAACTTTGATGTGGTTCTCCTGCTGACATCCTGTCTGACGTTTTTTGAGTATCAAAGCGTGTTTCATGCACATCACCTTACCCACATACTCAGGCGTGCCAAGAATCTCTCGGAGCTCTCCGACCGCGCCCAGTCTGCGTGACAGGCCAAAGTCTACGATCTTTATGTCTCCTGGAGGGGACAGGCTGGTCAGGAGAATATTCTGCGGCTGAAACACGGAGAGAAAACACAGAGCGAGCTTCATGAAGAGCAGAAGGACTGGAAAGATAAGATATACTTTGAACCTGGGCTCAAAACGAATTATATAATCGTTTTTCTCAGTTTCTCCAGTTCTCTTTGAACACTCCCAATAACATGTTTGCACTGGAGTGGACAGGTGTTTACCTTTCTATGATTTGTTCAAGTGCTGAAAATATGTCGACCATATAACACTGTGCAAACAGCCCCATTATTAAATGATAGCATCATTCTTTAGGAGAACAGTGCAGAACATACAGAACGTGCTGGTTTTGTTTGCATCAATTAATTCAGGGTTTTAGTGACTTTTATACAAAAGGTTCAAAAAAGAAAGTCAGAGCCAAACCAGTATTTACAGAGTCATCATTAAAAGAAGGCAAGATATTTAAACCTTCATCTTACAGCCTGATGTCGAGGTTAACAGAGAAGAGTAGAGATACTCATTTTAGACTGATCTGTCGAGCTTTCCAAGGCTACCTCCATTGCTCACTTTTATGTTTAAAGGCTTTAAAAACAAAAACAATGTCTTTCCAGATGATCTGTTATTGCATGTACACATGAAAACGTAATCTTTGAGTTTTTGAACCAATATGGGGTAAGCAGCATTTCCAGGTATCTCAATTTCAGGGGCTCTGATACGTCAGAGTAGTGTGTATTCTAAAATGTGTAGACATAGCATGTGATGTTGAGCTTTCCCCACTTTGTCCTGGGTAAACGGTTCAGTTACCTCCTATAATCCTGGTTCTGGGTCTAACTGTGTCATAAAAAAAGGAAACTGGGGTTTGGAGTGCACAACTGCTCTAAAAAAAGAGAATACACAACCGAGCACTTAAGGGGGAAGTTGGTGGTGAAGGGAGAGAACATGTAAAAATAGCGTCCCTTGTCTCCAGCTACACTCATGCATGTCTTTTGTGTGTGTGTGTGTATGTGCAGACCTTCAGGTCTAAGTGCACCAGGTTGCTCTGGTGGAGGTAGTGGACTCCCTCCAGTGTTTGTCTGATTAGTCGGGTGATCTGGGCCTCCGGCAGCAGCTCGTCAGAAACACAGTGGTCAAATATCTCTCCACCTGCAGCACTGAACAACGAGAAAACACACACAAACACACAACCACACACACTGTTAATACATAGATACACATGTATAAGTGAGCATCTTATAAATATTTGGAAAATGACTAAGTGATGAGAAACAGACATATGTGCATGAATTGACATGAGTCCTGATTGTATGAATGGCCAACCCACAGCCAGAGGGTCACTGACTTCATGCCGACATGTCTCAGCAAACCGTCACTGAGCAAGAAAGAAGCCTCCTCCCTGCTTACTCACAGTTAAGACTGTGTTAGCCAAAGTTGACACAAAGACGCAAAAGCTTAGCGTTGTGCCCAGGGCAGTAAGTTCAGCTGAGTTTATTACATTTCAGGTTATTCAACTTCCTAATGGGGTAGTTCTGTAATAGTCGAGGGAGTCTTAGATCAACAAAGTGAATTGTTAAAGCCTTCTTTGCTCCAAAGAAAGGATTAAAGTGTCTACAGAAGTATAAAAGGTGTGGTTAGAAAATCACTGCAAGTCACTTGAGGATAGCAACAGAGTTTTCCTTTCTTGATCTATGTCTCATATCTAGTATCTGTTTGGATGGTAGAGAGAAACTAGATTTATGATAAGCCAGACAAAGACGGAGAGTTGATTTGAAGACATCATATTCAAAGAAAGACTAAGAAGATTTCTGTTGAGGTCATTCAGAGCTGGACTTCTAGCTAAAGCTTTTATTATTTAGCTGAAATGGGCCTTTAAAGTCCTCAGACTAATCCTGATAAATGTTTCGGGAAGAACGCGTGTTACATAAAAAGTGTTCCAGCTCTTAAGATTGGAAAACAGGACTTTGGCCTTTAACCCTTTATACTCTATTACATATACTCCACTAGTGCTTAAAGTGGTTTTCGCTTACTGTAATATTCGAATGCTTCATTTCCCAAGAATCTTTGCAATCTCAGCTAAAAGCTTCTTGAGTTGATAAAATATAAAAGATTAAGGTGTAATAGTGTCATAAACTAAGAAAGTACAATCATTAAAATTGTTACTTCATCAGATTGTTTGCTATATAAGCACATTATCTGCAATAGAAATATTGTGACTAAATTTCTCAGAGTTCATCCAATAATTCACATCCTTTTTAATCTACAACCATAAGACTATGACAAGTTTTTTTTTTTTTTTTTAATTAAGATTAGTTTAAAACAGATCAAGGAAACAACTTTGTTTTGTAGCGAGATTGTGGACACCTCCTGCCACTCAGGCAGCTTCACCACATTTTACAACTGAGAAACATAATGATGTCATCAGTGGACATACAAGGGATGATGTGAAGAAAGGGAGCCTAAGTGTTTTTGCTTCAAAATGAACAAGGCCAAAGCTGTTATAAATTTAACTTTAGACCAACTTCAAATAATTTTGTAAAAAAATGCTCTCCTTTTTAACAGGGTTCAAAAAGGGCAGCTGTGGCTCAGCTGGTAGAGTCATTTGTCTCTTAAACAGAAGATCAGGGGTTCGATTCCCAGCTCCTGCAGCTACATGTCCGATGTGTCTGGAATTAGTTACTTCTGATGATCACTTTGCACAGCAGCCTCTACCATCTGTTTGAGTGTATAGGTGTGACTTGCATTGTAAAAGCCTTTGAGTAGTCAGAAGACTAGAAAAGCTCTACAAGTCCATTTATGATTTACCAAAAGGGAATTCCCAACATCATGCTGCTAGTTGTATATTTTGCTTGTTTGTCAGTGTTCAGCAGTGTTGGAGAGGTCAAGGCTTGATTGATTTGGTAAACAGACTTGAGCTTATATAACGCTTTTCTAGTCTTCCAACTACTCAAAGCACTTTTATAATTCAGGGTAAAGTGTCTTGCCCAAGGACACATCGGACATCTTGCCCAGCTGGGGATCAAACCCTTGACCCTCCGGTTGAGAGGCGACGACTCTACTAACTGAGCTACATCCGCCCTGATGATGATGTACTGTATAGACAGATAGAAATAAATGCTCTCACTCACTATTCCAGCACTAAGACGATGTCATGATCCGTCTCATAAGCAGCGTGCAGGTTGACCACTCGGGCATTGTTACGGGCCGTCTCCAGGACGGCCATCTCATGAATGACTTCTGCCCGACAGTCACGGCCTCGCCTCCTCTTCCGCAGGAACTTGGCGGCAAACACCTTCCCCGTGGCCTTCTCCACACAGCGCTTGACCACGGCAAACTTCCCCCTGTGGAGCAGAACATGCACGATTAAGGTGACAGCATCTGTGTGTTATGTACAACAGCTCATTCTGACATAGCTTGGTGTCAATGATTTTGCATTATTTTGATCGTTGTGTTAAACAAATGGCTCTCTAACGCCGGATTAGGATGATGGATATTAATTTAATGATCTAACATAGGAGAAATACCAAATGTTTGCTGTTTTATGTTCTTCATGACCAATTATATTATTTTTGCTCTGTAGTTCCTTTCCTTAGATACACCAGTGCAAAATCACCAGCAGGTTAGCAAGTAAAACAGCACCACGTTATGATTAACTTTCAGTTTGGCATTCAGCTGATAGTTAAGGCCATTATAGGAAACATGTCTCCACACAACCCGGCAACAGCTGCCTGCAACATAAAAAAAAAAAAAAAAGATCCTAAAATAAGCCATTACTAAAATAAGAGTGCCATGAATGTGAAGGTTACAGTCCCTGAAGGATTTCTCTTAGAGAATGGAACAATAGTATGAAGCTATTCTACTCATTTGCAGCGCCCGCTGATATTGTTACAAGTCATGTTTTCATGCAGACTTTGCATTTGGGATATTAAATATAGCTTGTGATGAACATTTCAAAAGTTGAAGGCACAGTGAGATTGCTGATAGCTGAGATTTCTGCCATCTTAAAAGCTTGTGTTCCCCATTAGTATATCTGGCAGTACAAAATAAGTACCGGCTCATTATCACACCAAATGAGTGATTCAAGAGTCCAGATAGTGGTGTTGTTACACCTAATGGACTTTCCTAATTATACAGTCTTCAAAGTAACACTTAGGCAATTTGGTATTCCAAAAGTTGTTCGGTCACACCTTACATAACTGTTTGTATAAAACAATGTTCTTTCCAAGCCTGTGCTGGGATAACCCCGATGAAGTCAACGGACATAGTTCAACTGGTTTTATGAGCTGAATTACCGGTACACTCCTCTTGACAAGGGAACTCATCTTTATGAATAAAAGGCGCCCACTGTCCCGTTGATGAATTTCTGGCTACCAAGGAGCAGGACAACGGCCGTATAGACAAAACCTGACATCTGAAGATGTAAGCCAATACGTTTTCTTAAGGAACAGATAAAAGAACATACAGAACATGTTTTCATTAATGACAGCACTCACCACTAAGTGAGCTGGAGTCAGCATCTTTTTATTGCAGTTGTACTTGTGAGCGTTATTTATCTCTTCCACAAGTGTTTGTTATATCTGCATTTGAGAGATCAACGCAATAAATGTGAAAATATATATATTTCTATCTCTACACATTACATAGATCTAAGAAAGATAGCCGATATATCAGTATCCGATTTTTTCTCTCCCAAATATCGGTATCGGCCCTAAAAAATCTCATATCGGTCGGGCCCTATTAAATATATATAAAGTTAAAACTGTTGCACAAGAGTTGAGCTTAACGTCGTGCACAGGCTGTCAGAGACATCAGAGAAGACCAGGTCTCATTTACTAAAGCAATGTGTTACAATCCGTTCAAACACATGTACCGGTAATACAAAACAATAAGAGTACAGTGAGAGGATTTTAATGTATTACAACTCTACATAACACCTTTGATAATGAAAACGATTATACCTGTAAATGATTGTCTGATTCAAGAAAAACAACTGAAAGACTGATTAACAAAAAAAGACTTAAGTTACAAACTAAACAAATCATGAGCCACAGTGACACATCAGTTTCCCTTAGTTAAAGGTATTTTCTTTTTAATATAAGACCAAAACTCTGGGGATTACTACAAATTCCTTTAAAAGTCAAAATCAGAAGTACAATTAGCCTTCTCATGTTCTTGAAAATACTGCACCTCAAAGCTTCCTGTTTTGACCAGTCACACAGAAGTTAACAGAAGTGGTCTGTGACATTTCTTCTTTCTAAAGTCACATTTCCACATGTGCTGGTTTCCTTCCCCCTGTGCTGAGTACAGAACGATACAGTAAACACTGTGTCATGACACATCACATCAAACACACCACAGAAATCGTAGGATAGGATCATCATCGACCATCAGCTGTTGCCATGGCTCCAAACAGAGTCAGACACATGACAAAGGTCTACTGTAGCACGATCGTGTCAGGTCTGCTGGTACTGTGAACCTTGTGTAATTACAGTAAAGCTTTCAGTTCAGAGTCCACAATGTAGTTAACCTTTTTTAAATACTTGTTTGAGCTTTTCCTGAGTAAAAATACAGAATCATCAGGTCATACACACTTAAATAAGTCAGTGAAACTGCCATTTTTATCTTTTTTTTTTGGTATTCACTCCTTATCTTTGATAATAAATTGATATATTTGGGCCCACAGTCAGCATGCGGATGTAACAAATCACATTACTTCTCCCTCCTGACAAACTGACTCATGGACTAAACTACAAATCTAAAAAATATTGGAGACCTTTGAGTTCTTTCCTTCAGACACTCTGACTGGTCTTTTTATGAAAACCAATGTTTGTGTTGCTTAAACTGTCAGAGACATATTTTTTTGTAAATATATGTTTGCTATAACTGATAGTATCTATGCATTATTGTGCATACATGGATGCATCGATGTGCACTTGTGAACACAGGTGAATATATATTTATTTATTTGGTGAAAATCAGGGTCGATACCGTTTTTTGTAGTAAAAATGTAGCCAATTCCGATGTTTCCTTTCATGACTTCTTTTGGTGTAAGATTCCCACAATGCCAACATCTTCTCTCATGTTTAAGCATGAAAACAGAGCAGAGTTTGTCCAACAGGTGACTTCTAATGCACGATAAAAAACCTCTTCTCTGAATCAGCAGTTCGGTGTTTTAGAGTCCAGCATTAAATTGATACGACACAACAGATAAACATTGATAACTGACATCAGTTCATGCCACATTATTTCCTGATGTGCACATGTCTGTCATCAGGGATGATATCTGCTGCTTAAATTGATGCATCCTTGTTATTTATAAAGTGATTAATGTTTGTCTGGGGCATATTTAAGTTTTGTATGTGTTTGGTTTTGTGTGTTTTTTCCCCTGTTTCTGTTGTTAATGTTGAACGGTGTCATATGTTTGTTGAATTTAAAAATAGAGATAACATGTAAGTCCTTGACAATAAAAGGGATAATCTTCTGACTGTTTTTAATTGTCTAAACATCATGTGTAGCATGTTTTGCATGATCACTCTCCTGTTCAAATCTGTAGTTAAAATGTAACTAAGTGTCGCCACACAGTCTAGTTTCATTATATAGTTTTACTGAGTATCTTACTGGTACGAGTGTTTAAGAAACGTTATTGCATAATAATTGAATGATTATGATAATAAAAGGATGCTGTTGCATTGATAAGTCTTTCTTAAGTACCGGTACTCTCAGTCTGGATCGTTGCCAGGCTTTATGTAATTGTTAATTATGGTCTTAACTGTGGTTATGAGCCATTAGAGCAAACATCCTCCTAATGCAGAACTTTCTTTACTTTCCTGTTTGTTTACCAGTTGGACTTCCAATAAACAATCAAGATTCATTTCAAATGTTTAATTTTGTTTAATGCTCGCTCTATATGTGATATCCTGGGAAATTATTAACTTGAAACTGAAGAAATACACACATTTTCTTACAATGACTAACGAGGGAAATAAAAAAAAGAAAACTGGACAATGCTGAAACTTTTTACAAACGATAAAACATAAAAGTTAGTTTTAAACTAAGGAATATTAAGTAACGTTTTGAGGCAAAATACTACATTTGTAAGTTTTTACATCAGTTGTACAGAAGACGATGAGGGGCCAGTCATGAGAAATAAATAAAGAAAAGTGGAAGATTTTTTTTTTTTTCATTTTGCAGTCCAAGAAAAAAAGTTGAATAGTTGAGAAAAAGCTGAAATGTCAATGTCAACATTTCGAGATATTGTCCTTTTTAAGTTAATTCCTGACATTTCAATTTTTGTTCTCAACATTTCAACTTAACAAATAATCTTTATTCTCGAAGTTGTTTCAACTCTATCTGTAAAATATCGACTTAATTCACAACATCTCTACTTTTCTCGAAACTTTGACATTATCCTTGAAGTGCATCATGACATTTTTTTTCCACCCATCATGATTTATTTCTTCTTCAATCCTCTTCCGTATAGCTGACTTTCTACCATCACCTTTCAGTCAAGTTAAGACATCTATAAAGGCTTCAAGCTTTTATCCAAGCTGTGAAGCTCAGTAACATATCGCCTGTATAACATGTGTTATTAAAGTGCTTTAAGTCTTTTAAGATACACACAATAAAGGACATAACAAATGTTCTTTGCTGTCATTTAAGAGGCATTATTTTCCAAGGGTCCTTTCTGTTTTGACTCACCTTCCGAGCTCTCCGGTGATTTCATAGACACTTTCGAGCGGGTCGGTGCTGATCGGGGTCTGTGTTTCTCCGAGGAGTCCCGCAGACAGCCCGCTACGACTGTCTAGCCGCCGCCGAGACATCGTCCTCTCCTTCGGGTATCTTGTTCTCCTGCTGCCAGCTACCCGGCTGGAGACCGGGCGGAAAGCTACTTAAGTTAATAAGAGATGAGAGGAGAAGAAAACTAACCTAATGGTCTAATTAAGATTAACGCTTCCAGGTTGACATGAGCTACATGTCAGTGAGAGCCGGTTATCATTTCTGAAGTCTCCGCAGACTCGACTCTGGTTAGCACAAGCGTCGCTAACTAAGTTAGCTCGACGGTCAATGACGCGGGTACAAAAGTGAGTTAAACCGATTTTCCGTTGCTCAGACAAAGACGAGTTGTTAGTCCTAAAAAAAAAACTAAACCTTAAGGGTATTCCAGCGGAGAAATTATCCAAACTGCAGCTTCGGGCGACTAAGTAATATCTCTGTAACTTTGTCTGGGTAGTTTTCGATCATTTTTACATCCTTCTGTTTGACACTTTCTGGACACGTCATTGTCTTGCGCATGCGCACTACGGTTGTGTTTAAAAAAAAAAAAAAAAAAAAAAAAAAAAAAGGGAGGGCCGCGAGAGGTTGAATAAATTTGAAACAATACAATTTTAACAGGCTTGTTATCCTTTTACACTTTGATTGATAAGCAAATACATTATATTTCTATATGTTTTGAGTGAAAAAGCCTACTTTATGTTTATATGAATGTATAGCTGATATTTCCACTTGTTCACAAGAGTGCTCTGCCTGACTGAGGTCTAAGTTGGAGTCTAATGATGAGAATTTTTTACATAAACTTAAAATTGATGTGTGAGGAATGTTAAGATGCTTTGCCTTAGATTTATGTATATTTTATTATTATTTAAACCAATTTCATGGTCACTAACTTAACCATGTAAATACTATTGTTGTCCCACTAATCAGATATCCATCTATGCACACTGTTTAATGTTAATTATGTAAAAACTCTCTACCTAATGTATATTAACCTATCTGATACATAATAACATATTCTATTGTATTTATTTCAGCATTTTTTTCACTACTCACCAATGCATTATTGTCTCATTTAGTCTTGTACACATTAGTCTTTGCTTATTTTGTTTTTATTGTTGATATTTAATGTTGTACTTTTGTACATAGAGAGCACAGTTCACTAAAGTCAAATTCTTTGTGTATCAATACAACTGATTCTGATTATTTTTTTTATTTTTTCCTACATTTTTTATGTATTTCTTGTAAATGCCTTTCTGATTTCCTTTAAGGAAATTCTTCTTTCTGCTGAGGAATGCAAATTTGATTCCAACAATTGTAATTTACAACTGTGGTAAATATGAATGAATAAATAAAAGGGTGTGTAACCTGTAAAAATATACTCCATAAATGTAATGTAATACGGTATTAAGTTAGCAAACTGTCACAACTGTCTATTTCCAATTAAAATGGATGAATAGTTCCTCAATGATTCCAGACTAAACTCCCGTAAAAGACAAATAAGGCTCATGTATCGTTAATCAAAATTTGCCATATTTTCTCTTTTATTACAATCATCGGGGTGAGATGGAGACACACATACAGGAGCTTTGCATAGAGTGGAATTCTGAAAACTGGAGCCGGGTCCTGTCAGAAATGAACTAAGAAAGACGAGATGTACGGCTGTCTTCATTCAGACGAAGAGCAAGTAGTCAATCTTACTGTACCAGTCTTCTGCTGCAGAAAACATCAAACTGACCGAGTAAATGAGCTATATCCTAATGTGAAGCGTTGCTGCCCATGCCACAAATCTGCCCTTCAAGCCAACATGAGGTGATCTCTGTAAGGGTTTGGCAGAAGCCACAAGTGGGATGTGAGTGTTAGACTGAAAGAGAGAGCAGGCCTAATGGTTGACTTTGCAAGCCCCAAACCTTTGGTACATTCGGTGCAAAATATATATTTATACACACACAAGAGGACAGACATACATATACATTTATATACAAAGAGACAAACAGGACCTCACACATGGTACACTTACATGTGCTCTCACGTTTCACAGAATCAAAAACAGCCCTATTGAATCATCGCTGATTCACAATGAACCATAACCATGGACCTATTACTAAGATAGGCAGACACGCACATGTGAAAGTAACAACATCTTTGAAACATGCTGCCGAGATACTTGCCGTTACACTGTCATAGAGAAAACAAACTACGGCATTCACACATTGTCCATTCCCAGAGCTAAAACTAAGCACCTACCAGTATTTCCTACACCCTGCTCCCCCGAGTGTAACACTCAGGGTATGACAGTGTCAGGTAAGCATAAGGACGCATGCCTCAAGTGAGCGCCACAACCAAAGTGACACAACTTGACCAGCTCCCTCACCCCTTTTTCTGAATGGATAGCGATATCCTCATGCAAAAAAGCTAGTAAGGACAGTGTGTTGCACTATTTCAGCATGCAATATCGAGCTAGTACACAACGCCATCTAGGGGTTTCTGCCCCAGCACAGCTCACAGAGCTGACAGAGGAGATCCCGCATGCAGTATTGGACTGGGAGAGGGGGGGCTGGGTGAGGAAAGTCTGCCTCCACATGCTGCATCACATGTGAGGCTCTGTCTCTCTCCCAGCCCCTGTGGTCTAACTCCAACAGGACTCTGTACAGTAGGTGTAATCTTGCATGCACCCCATAGAAAACAAGTACGTGTATTAGTGTGTGTGTGTGTGTGTGTGTGTGTGTGTGTGTGTGTGTGTGTGTTTGTGTGCATGTAAGAAAGTGTGTGAGGGTCCTCAGGGTTTGTGTCGTGCACTTAACAGTTAGAGAAATTTCTTTATCACATGCTTTCAAGACAAAACTATTGTCTGGCATGGACTTGTATGCCAAAAGTTCTGAAATACATCATCCATTTAGCCCAAAAGGCTGGTTCATGATTCCTTCCGACATCCCTTTAACACCTGGACAGGTCTTTTGAGAAGGAGAAAATCACCAGTTATTTGCTATGAATGTACTATAGTGATGAGAGGACACACTGCTGCCACCTGCTGTTGATATCTGTTAAGGGAATGAAACAGCAGCTCTTGAAGTTACACCATCTTTGATTTGTGAGACACATGGATCTGGTCAAACTTGTTCAAGGAAACAAAAACAGCTTCCCGTATGAAATTTCACTTCATGGCTTCATGGAAAACCAAAGAGGCACTAAAAAAGGTCCCGTCAAAGCACCCTCAACGAGTAACCTGGATGACGCCAGGCTCGTGTCCTTTCAGCTTTCCACAGGGCTCAATCAAGGTGCCGACGTCGAGTGAAGTGCGTCCTCATTCCTACCCCTCCTCTTCAAATCTTCCTCGAAAGGGCAAAACACAGTCACTCAAGGTCCATACATTCAGTCACTTATTTGGTACATTCATCACTTTTCATGGGGCGGGAGGCGATTAGATCAGTGAGAAGGACGCCGTGTGTCAGAGTAATGGGCAGACGTCATCTGTCCGAGTGAGAAAATGCCTCTATTGCTCATGATGAGTTGAGGAGCGGTTTGAAAGAGAGGAACCCTGCACTTCTATTAAACTGTCAGTAAATGTATTTGTATTGTGTGGTGAGTTAGACCGTAAGAAAGTGCAATCACAGCATCAAGGCTAATGCTGTAACACTGTCGTCATGTGTTTTTGAATATGACATTGGCTGAAGAGTAAATGCAGAAACACGGTTGCGTATTTAGATGTATCTTAAGAGCTCTAATCTCTCAGTTTCTACGGTAACAGTCCTGACCAGAACCTGCCGTCATTATCACAATGGGTCGATGACACTGTCCATAAATGTCACCAACATATTTTTTTTTGTAGATTTTCCCCCTTTTTAAGGAATCAAAAATGTGAAAAAAGTGTATTTTCTCTCAAAACATCTCTTTTTATGTATTTTATGTATGTTTATATGTGTAAGCGTGCAACCTAGTGTATCCCCTTCACGCAGGCATCAATAGAGGTCCAGCCAACACCTAAAATGTCATTTCTTTCCATTCTGATAAAAAATACATACATAGGGGAAACACCAGTTTGCATAATAAAAAAAGGAAATGTCCCATGTTTGTGTGTGTTTTGTGCAAAGGTGATCAGTATGTGTGTATTATAGTTCAAAATGACGCAACCTCAGTGCAGAGAGGACACAGTTTAGAGGTCCAGAGAGGGAGAAGGGGGCTTAGTGGATTTTGAGCAGCTGTCTCTGAGGTGCAGTTTGGAGGAGGACGAGGAGGAGGAGGAGGGGGTGCTAGAAATCCAGTAAACAAGGCCATTAACTTAGGAGATAAAGCACACATGTGGCTCAATGAACAAAGGTAACCATGAAAACAAGCGATTGTACTACAGAGCTTACCAAACCCTCCTCTGATTTTCTGCCTTTCTTCCAAACCGTGCTCACTTCCTCTTCGATATGAGAGAAAGGCGGAGAATCGATTGAAGCTTGCATGCCGAGTGACAAAAAAGCCAGTCTGAAAACACAGCAGAGTAATCCATAGGATGGGTTAGTTGCCTTTTTGAGGATATAGGTTTTTATTTTCCAGGTTTCTCTCCTCAGTCAATAAGGTTTGATTGTTCTGTCTCCAAAAAGTAAACCTGTGTGAAAGCTGATTGGACGTTACTCCAAACCGAACGTGCTCGTCTCCTCCACAGCAGTGACGAGCTTCTCATAGAGCATGGAAAAGGAGGGGTAAGGTGGGAGGTCCAGACGATTAAAGCAAGTATGAGCCCTATGGAGACACACACAAACACACAGAATAAAAGATCAGCAGATGAATGACAGGATGACTCAGCTGTCAGTCAGTCTTGAGACACATGTGATCTGATACAACAGCTCTGAAATCAGATCTGCATTTCCAGTTTAATAATGTTAACATTTATCCGATAGAGAGGACATGGTGTTCCTTTAGGTATTTTTTTTACTTAAGGTTAAAGTTTTCAGAGGTGATGATCTGATCACCACGAAATGAAGTAACCAAAACAAGGTGACAGCTTCAGATACCAAATCAGGTTTGAAGTGTATAAATAGGCCATCAGGATTTATCCATCCATCCATCCCTTATCTTTACCGCTTTTCCCGTTTGGGGTCGCGGGGGGCTAGGGCCGATCCCAGCTGTCATTGAGCGAGAGGCAGGGTTACATCCTGGACTGTTCCCCAGCCAATCACAGGGCACATCAGGATTGTGAATTGTAATTACATGGGAATGTTTAGAAACTTTTGTTTTTAGGGTTTTCTGCATTTTTTAAATGAAACAATGTCTCCCATTAGTTAGTGGACGATTATCTGAAAACAGTATATTGTTTATTTGATAGATTATATTGCTTAATGCAAAAGTAATCTTTTATGTCTTACTGTGCAGACTCCAGCATATTTTGTCACAGTTTAATCCTGTGTTAAATATGTAGTTTTACAACTTTGAAAGGCTTTTAAAAATATATGCATGGGGAAAAAAATCAAAACAGTAGTCTTAACCTTGGAGGAATAAGATAGGTACCGAACTTTCCAGCTAGAACACAAGATTTTTGAAGAGTCCAGAAGTGTTTTCAATCGGATCCAGAATCACATCCTACCTGGGTAAAGAGGTGATCTTCCCCCACTTCTCCACACAGAATCTGCGGGGTCCATTACTGCCCCGTAACGAAGCAAATCCCTCGTAAGGAATACTGGAGGTGCCCGTCACAAACTAGAAGGAAGGGGCAAGACAAAAAAAAACAAAAGTATGAAAGCAGCAACAGAAAAACAAAAGTAATATTTAAAACATTCAGAACTTAAAAGGTTAATAGATAGAGAAGCTGCATGGGATAACAAATTACTTATGCAGGCAAATCTGCTAGATCAATAAGCTGTGTTTTCTGTCACTCTCAGGCTCAGATTGTTATCTTAAATGTCTGACTGCATTATTTAAATGATCCCTACATGGTTACACCTTCTTGTAGAACAGTGACTTTATTCTAAATCAGAAACAGAGGTTACAGATCTGTCTTCAAAAACACCAGACTACATCCCAACAACTGTAATTTTACCTCACAGAGAAAAGGAAGCTGAATGTTTTGCTGCCTGAATTATTTGTTTTAATTTTTGTGTGAATTTCATGGTTCAAATATTCCGTTTACTCCAAACACAATATTTGCTAAACGGACATTAACACACAAAAAGAACAACTGATCAGGGCAGCGGTAGACCAGCTCCTCCCTTTGATTTTAGAGGCAAAATGACTGATTATGTCAATGGGATCCTTTAAGTTGTGGCTTTAGAGTCTTAGAATTACCATCTGAGCCTGTCTATCAAAAACATTTGTGTTAGTTGAGTTTCTATAAGCAGGCTCGCTCTCCTGCAGGGGCTACATTGCAGTCATCATAGTTGTGTGGCAGCTGATGGCTGAGGCGGTTTACTGGAACAATTCCAAACCCCCTTTTAAAAAAAAAAAAATCTATTCAACCTTTAGGACTGATATATGAAAACACACGGCCGGGTTTTTAAATTATAGGATTCAATCTACTGGGATTTTATTTTCTTCGATGATAACTGCAAACTGCATGCAGCAGTTGGCTACCCCATGGCTACATGATGGATAGATCAAAGTATCATCTCTCTGCAGTCTCGAGCACGACTCTGCAGTGCCTGCAGCGCCCCGGGCCTCCACACGGGGGCAGTCCGTGTGCATGCGGTCACCCACGTGCCGTACCTGCAGCAGTCTCAGCCTCTGCTCATTGTTGAACCTCTCCACAGCTGCCCAGAACCAGCGAATCACTATGTGGTTGTCATGGTAACCTAAGGGGAGATAGATGATGATGGTGCATGAGTCAGATGAATAACAAATAAGGCCTTCCGTCCCCTCTGTTCTTCGCTGCTCCTCTCGCCACCTCCCGGCTCACTCACATCATCCTCTGTAATTTTTGAATGGTTTCTTGCTGTTTAATGTTTAATGGCCAGAGCTGTTTGGTCCGTCCCAGTCGATTCATCTATTAAAAGAGGCTCGCAGTGAGTCATAGCCGATTGTCAGATTGAGTTCTCTTGTCTTACTTGCTGCTGGCGGCCTCTCAACTGGGATTGGCCAGACCTTTAAAAAGCCTTTTAATGTGATCTCTTATAAATGGTTTGGACACTGGCACTCCCATGCTCGTACTGAACACAATATCTATTACAATAATTAAAAAGCATACCTCCCCAATGATTCAGAGCTCATTATAAAATGCATTACAGTAAAGACTAATACAGTCGTTAAATATAGGATGAAATGAACTCTCAATCTGAAGAGTCACTACTCATTGTAGCATAAGCATTTTAAATAATAACAGCAATAATCACAAGGATTAATATACGTTTACTTAGTAACTATTTTATCGGACTGTTGTTCTGTTTAACCTTTTAACAAATCCTAAATGTTTTTTAAGTTTATTTTCCATTTTCTCTTTTGACTTTTGTTCACTACTTTTGCACCTTAGTACACCTGAAAGACGCAGATATAGTAGAAAAGTTATCTAGTAATCATTACTACTTTTCAGTACTTTTGAACTTGGTCTTTCAAGCCTCAAGTTGTAAAAAGTTGTTGGGTTTTACTTACAAGTCTTGTTTTTCCAACGCTGCACAAAACGACTTGTTGCTGTTTTTTTAATCCTCTGATCGATCATGGATTTGTTTTTATATGTACATTCATCTTCTCAATGCCTTAAATCTTTGGATACGGATCAGGAAGCACTAACTTGTTTCAAAACAAATCTCAGGGTCCTAATTTATCACTGTACTCTGTTTGAATGACTTGGCTGGCCCGCATTGTCTCTTTGTAGACTAAATCAGCATGTACTAATTTATAAGACTTTACCTAACATGCTAGCCTCATACTTGTGTAATTTTATTCATGTGAAAAGTGCTGGAAGCCTCAGTCTTCGCTCTGACACCCAGTGACAAAACATGTTCTTGTTATCTGTCCTCAAAGTGCATTTTGAAACAAGAAAAGGAGATTCAGGTTCGCTGCTTGTGCAGCCGGGAATCTCCTGCAGGAGGATTTGTGTGTGGGGCAGCTGGTCTCTTTAAATCTTTTTAAAAGTAGATTATAGACATTGGAAGAAGACGTGTCAGGTTTGTAGATGTTTTGACTGATGACTTTCTGCTCTGTGACTCAGGGCGTGTTGATCTGAGTTTGTAATTACTCTGTTCTCCATGTCTGTAACTTGTTTATTGTGCTGCTGCCTGTCTTAGCCAGGAAACTCTTGAAAATGAGATTCTTAATGAGGTTTTCTTGGTCAAACCCATTTCAAATTAGAACATGTGATTTGTTTCAGGCTTCCTGACAGCAGAAGGGCTCCTGTTTACATTATATATTTTCTATTCTACTATTCTAATCATGCAAAAACCTGTACAGTATGTGTAAACCTAGTTAGCGATAACCTCCAACAAAAGTAGCATAAGCTAAACTTTGCATTCTTTCCCCCTGATACACAAAAAAGCAGAGACACAAGTTTTGCACTGAGCCCTGCTCGCTGAAGTTGCAGCCTGAAGTTGTGAATGAAAAAGTCACTTGAACATGAGCCAGTGTTTCCATTTGACTTTGCTGAGTTTTGTCTCACCTTGCTGTCAGTGTGCCATGAACACTTTTCCTCTACATCTCTGCTCTGTTGGCTCATTGCTTTCCTGCAGCTTTTACATACCTCCTCTGTACTCCGTGTTGTTCCTCCAGTCTGCCAGGTCGATCTCTGCAGTGCCTGCAATCACCAGCTCCAGCTCCCTGGCATCAAATACGGACACCAGACGCACGTCCACCACCTAACGAACACACATCAACACACAGTGTGAGTCATGACACAGCCTGTTCTTTAAACTCTATAGTCTTCACTCATACAACAGATTGTTTGGGGGAATTTAGGAGTCTGGAGAGAAGGGAGTAGAAGTGGATTCTCACAGTGGAAAAAACAAGACGATAGCAGAGGGATAAACACTTCCACCAGTTTGTTTACAGAACATGTTGGATTTGATTTGTTTAACAAACTGAGGCATTGGAAGTCACATTTACACAAATGTATCACACAAAGCCTTGTTTATCTGACAACCTGTGAGGCAAAGTACTTAACAGGGGTTTGGATTAGTACCAGTTCTGAAAGCAGAATATGAGCACAAGTCCAGATTTCAGATTTCGATTTCAGTCATTTTGAGCTTGTTAAGCACTATCAGACATCAAGATCCATATTCTCCCAGTTATACACTAGACTTCATTCTCCGACTCCCATGTACATATTTAAGAGAAATTCACACACTTGTACCTCTCATTATCCAGAGTTTGAACAGATGTGTCCTTAGATTTAAATCCAAACCTTTCTGTGCATTGAGATGGTTTTGTATAAATAGCTGCATATTTTACATTACATTCTATGGCAAATTATAATTCCCATACTTCCTGGTAGATTTTTCAGACCATACTTCCTGTAACATCAAAGTCCACAGAACTAAAAGTTTTTTTTATGTCTTACATTTTTTTGACGTGTTACACTCTGACTTTATGTGCTATCACTTACTCAAGTCATCTTCTTGTAAACTTGTTTTTAAATGTTTTGCTGTTCAGTCGACACTCCAACGAATACATTTTAAAGACGTGCCATTGTACCACTACCACAAGAGGATATAAACCTACTGTTTTTTCCTTTAGTATATTGAATAGATATCCTTATACTATTGTTTCCTCCATATTTAGTCTATTTTGAATTCTCTTATTTTCTATGAAGAGAAAACAAGATGTAAAAAGTTCATAATTTTATCGTCATATTGTCCATTAGGCTTTCACGATATGAGAAAAATAAACAGTATGGGATAACATTTTTCAATATTGCTATAATGATACAGTATGAAGTTTAAAGAACTATTAAAGCATTTATATAAGCTATCACTGAATTGAATTGCTGTTCTTCAGGTTTGAAACTCTCCTCTCCCTCCTGAATCCAAAATAAAAAAAACTTTGTTGCACCAGTTAACTAGGGGGGTCATCTGAGGGTTAATCAAGCTGAGAGCTAGCTTGAGCTGACTGCAGAGAAATGATGTGAAAGCATGAACATTATACCCAGACCCTCAATGTAATGAGTGAAATGTTCCCATGCTGAGTGAGAAAGCATGACATGTTTGGATAATTATTTTGAGTATTCTCATTTCACGATAAAATTGCCATTGTGAATAACTGAGCAGATCTTTTGGCCGTGTAGCCTTTTTGTTCACTGTAATTATTATCATTAATAATTATTATGAATTGGCTCATTCTTAAAGTCAAGTTTTTACTGAACTCGGTAAAATGACATTTTCTTTTGATGCCCCAATTTCACGGAGCGCCCTCCAGCAGACTCTGAAGATTGGAGGTCTTCCCTCTCCTGCAGAGTTTAGGAATTTGATTTCTAGCCACTTTGTTTCTAATTGGGACTGTTTTTAATGGACCTCAGTGGCTTTTGTCATAGATTTGTAAGTGTTTGTTGTCGTTGTTTCTGCTTGTTTTACTGTGCTTGTAATATCGATGATATTGGAAATGAGGGAAACCTCAGAGTCCTTTCGAGAATAGTTGAGGTGTGATTGATTGATTGAATGATGGATATGTGAATATAAGCCAACACAAAAACAGTCTGTCTGCTTATTTGATAACTTAATTAATCATCAGTATTAAATATTCAAGCAGGCTTAATGTTTTCTTATTTTTAATGTCATGTACTGAGCATGTGCTTTTCTTCTTTCCTATTTGTGTTGATTTGTTTCAGTCTTCAGGGACTTGGAGAGAGCTGTGGTAACACAAAGTCAGGGGACGGCGTTCTCAACACTCAGTTATCTACGGCATCTTGTTTTTAATTGATTTGTTTTCATTTCCTCTGCATCTCCATGGTGATAGATACGTTAACAAGAAAGAGCAAAGATCAAACACTGCTGTCAGGCGAATAGCAAATATATCAAGATTCATGGAATTCAATTCTGTTTTGTCTCTCGCTCTTTTGTATTAATTGATTGAACTATTTTTAGCCTCTTAATCCTCATCTGAAAATGCCAGATATTGGATGACCCTTTGAAAAATAAAAAAGGATCCTGAGCACCTGATTCAGTGACGCAATCACAGCGTCACTGGTATTGATCAACGATCCTGTCAGAGAGTCTAAAACAGCCATTATGTGCTTTAAAGAAGAAGAGCGCGTTTATAAGAGCTTAGCGTAGCCTCAATGACGCTGATGTTAAGTTCTGTACCTCATAGAAGCCTCTGACCAGGCTCTCCGTCTGCTGGGCCACTCCTCTCTCGATACGCCACTTCACCATACGCTCGATGTACTCCTTCTTGTTCTTCTCTGAGACAGGGATACCAGCCCCGCCCGGCTTCAGCTCTCTCTCCGTAATCTGCAGAAACAGAGACACACAGAAACTTCATGATCAAATGCAACTTTTATTTTTAATCATGGGACATTTTCTTTTTTTTTATTTGAGGTACAAAAAGCTTTGGGTTTTCTCCGGTAGTTTAATTTTTCGTTCCAAACTCCCTGAACTAATACAACTGTTTTTAACAGAACAAAGGAGCTGCTTCTCTGCTGCATCGATCCGTCATTTCTTTGTGTGTTACTTTGAGTTACTTAATGTGTAATGTGTAATGTGTAAACAACACATTTTTGTGTGTGCATCAGAAATGTATGAACCCATTTACATGTGATTTACACTTGTAAAGAAGGACAAATATTTCCTGTTAAAGAGAGCCTTACATATAAATCCTCAAATATATTTGTAAATCCTTCTGTTGGCATTTATTCTTCTTAAGACTGATCTGACTTTATATCAATTTGAACTATTTGGAAAGGCAAACCTGAGGCAGAGGTGGACCAAATCTCCCGTGTTTTTGTGAGGTAATATTAATATTTTGTCAAAACGTTGTTGTGTGAGAGAGAAATGCAAGAGCTGTTCCTGGTTGAAAAAAGTGAAATCTTTGCTATAAAAGAGGTTTATCTCTCCAGAGATCTTTCCCAAATATTATAAACCACATAAAAAAATAAAAGTAGCACAAAAAAGCAGGTCTTGTGGACGTATTTTGAGCGGGCGCATTTGTTTGCAGATATGAGGTTGCAGCCTCCTGCTGATGCAATCACCAAGAGCAATTTGACTCAGTAAATAGTTAATCGTAAAACCAAAGTGGTAAAATAATAATGCAGATTTATATTCACTAGGCTGAAAACCACAAATGATAGTGAACACATCTGATTCCGCCTCACATACCTGTCCAAAGACCTCCTCGTTGACAGTGAAGGTGAGGTCCAGCATGTCCTCAATGTCGTTGTCCTTCATCCACTGCAGGCTCTGGTGGAACTCCTCGTCCAGGAACTCCAGGTCACTCAGGTCACACGGGCTGGATGAGCACAGGCAGAGGTTACACGGAGCTTACAGAGGGGTCAACAAGGTATTGATGGATCGCCCTGTTCATAAACCATGGCTGATTGTAAGAGGATAGGTTAAAGGTTAGTTACCCCATGTATAACAGCGTGAGAGAGCAAAAGGTAGTAAAATATATCGCGCAGATTGATGCATGGCGAGAAAATACATACTGTTTACAGAGACATGCGGAGTACTGATGGATGTAGAGGGGAAAACACAACGACAGGATTTTTTATCCTAAATTCATCTTATTTATACATCATCTTGGGTTTGACTTCATTTTCCTGAATATACCTTAACTATTAGAGTCCTAACTGTTTCAAGTAGTTTAATTGGTGTTGCTTCTGCACATTGGATCTAGGTATGCCATACCTCATTGTATAATAATAGTAGTTTAAAGTAAAGTTAGGTGGCTAAGAAAAGCTATTAATTGAGTCCCCAACTTTTTCAACACACTACCGACGTCTGTGTATGAATTCAGAGGAGGGTTACAGATAAAAGAATCAGTGTTTTTCATGAAGCATTATTTGTTTGTTCCATGTGCCGTTTATATTTTAATGTCATAACTTGCTACAGCTGCTTCCATCATGCGTCAGGTATTATAAATAATTCTTAATATTTTGGGGAATCAGCCCAACAAAAAGTGCTTATTCAAAAAACAGTCACCTTGATTTCTTCCTGTACTTAAAAATACATAAGAAAGTCATGATTGGGGCGCTGGATAGCCTAGTGGTTAAATAGCGGGTACTATGTACGGAGGCTATACTTCTCAGAGTGGGCACCCCAGATTCAACTCAAACCCCTGGAGACTTTGCCGCCTTTTAATCGTATTCTACACATTTCCAGAAACATGTATGATGTCCTTAATGTACTTTTATTTTTCATTATTAAAACCTTTTCTTCACAAGAATGATGTAGCAAAGAACAGATCCATGTCGCTTCAGAGCAAAAGAACACAAATAAATGCATAAATATTCTGTCCTTACAGCAGACACTTGGCATGGTTTGAGGTCTGTTGGAGGAAGCTATTAATAAGAATGCTGCTCCTTCTGATAGGAGACCCAGCCAGCTGCTAGCTGAGAGACCCTGACTGAAACACTCATATTCTCAGCACGCTCGCATAAAGTTAGTGAGGAGGAGCTGATTGGAAGTGCCAACATTGCCCTGCAGGCGGGTGTAGAATAGGAAGTAAGGGAGAGGCAGGCTGAGGGACTTACATGCGAAGAAGCCCCTTGTAGAAGGGTCGGGTAAAAAAGGCGTCGAGCAGGTACTGATGGACGAGAGCCAGGCCCAGGATACGCCCACTGAAGCGAAACCTAGACCCAACACAGAAAAAGTACAGGTGAGCACACCAGCATCATATCTGGATAAAGAGTCCTTTCATATTCTTTTTTAGATTAAATGTTTCTGGTTTTGAGTGCCAGATGGAGGGGGTAACTCTTTCAGATGGAGTGCAGTAGCAGCATAACAAAGCAAATTGATTTAGATTCTTCTTTTCTGCAGATGCATAAACATTGTGGACGTAGAATGGCTTGTGTGTACTACTTTCATGTAGCTTTTAACAGGCTTAAGTCAAATTTGAAATTGACTTTCAAACTCAGGATGCACCAGATGGGGACATTGTTCATGACAATAAACTAAATCCCACAAGATTTACTGCAGGGACAAAGCGGTGAGTCAGAACAGTGCTGAAGTCTGTACAACAGAGACTCAAAGCAGGGTAAAGACACCGCTTTGCAACTTACAGCAGTCACTGATCTGGCACCAGTGTCACCACTTAAGGACATTTCTTTTATATTTTACATCCTTTTCTATATGTTGTTTTTAAATGTGTCACTGTGACTTTGTGTACTATCATACTTATAACGACTAATCCTGTATATCCTGTCTTTATCGAGAACTTTAGAAAGTATCACAAACATCAGCAACAAAATTATTGGATTGACATTCCTTAAAGCGTATAACAGCGACTAATGCCTGTTCAGCCGGGCTAACAGAAGAGGTGCATTTTGGTGCTAATTCTTCTTGATACATCCTCTGATATCATGGTTCACCTGTCTTGTTGTTTACCCATCAATTCATAAGTTGGATCATACATTCATCAATGTATCCACAGTTCTATTAATTCTTTGATCAATCCTTGTACCATCCATCCATCCATTCACCAGTCGCCACCAGTTCACTAACTGGATCATCCATCATCCCTCCACACATCCCCCAATCCATTGATCTAGCCATCTTTCCATCCATCTATGGTTTTTTAAACAATCAAACCATCCACCCATCGTTCCATCCATGGATATATCTATTGATCCACCCATCTATGTACCAATCCATCCCCTCATCCATCCATTTATTGATGAATCAATCCAACCATCCATCAATCCATCCATCCATCCATCAACCAACCATTCAGCCCTCCATAAACAAATCTATTCAGCCATTCATTCATCCAACTCAGCCATCCATCCACCAAACATTCAGTCATCCATCCACCACATCCATCCATCCATCCATCACTCACCAACAGTTCACTGATTGGATTATCTGTCTATTCATCCCTCCACACATCTATCATCAGCCCATCCATCTATCTATCTTTCTTTCATTCATTCATCTTTCCATCAATCCTTGTACCATCCAACCACAGATATATCTATTGATCCATCCGTCTTTGGAAATAATTCTTCCCTCCCTCCATCATCCATTTATTGATTAATCACTCCATCCATCCATCCATCATATAGTAATCCATCCATCAGTCTACTCATCCATTCTTTCATCTAACTCATCCATCCATCCATTCATCAATTTACTTCTATACACATCCATCCATCCATAAATCCAATCTGTCTGTTGATTGATTCCTATTTACTTTTCGATCTTTCTTTCCTCAATTTATCCACAAATCCCGCCATCCATGAACCGGTACCTTTATGCCTCTTTCCTCCAGTTCTATCACTTATCCCTCCATTCCCATTTCATCCATCAAATCCTATCCATCCATCCATCCCATCCATCCATCCAACGGTCCATCCATCCCATCCCATCCCATCCATCCATCTGAGGCTAAATTGGTTGCTGATCCAAATTTCCACACAGCACCCCACAAATGACTTCTATTACAGTATCAGCACCCAGCAGTCAGAGCATACACCATGACCACTTCAGCACAGCGTTACTAAACAAATACTATAGCACAGTAACATATTGAAACCTCACCATTCATGGTGGTTGTCCACAAAGGCAGACATGGGGCTAATCTGGACCGTGTACGTGTCATTGGCTGAGTATTCAAACAGGCCGTAGTACGGGTTGAACAGTTCTCTAGACACCAGGAAGAAAAACTCTCTGGAGGGTCCACTGTAGTCCAGCCTGCAACAAACAAACATGTTACAATATATCAATATGTACACATGTTAATTAGCCTTTTATCTACTTCTTCTGCAGCTAAAATAATATCATATCATCATTATATTCAAATCTGGTGTGCACAGTAGTTAAAAGAAACTCTTAGACTCTGAGAAAAAGACACCACCCCAACTTTCATCTTGAATTTTCAACAATGAAGGATAAAGATGATACAATTAACCAATGATAAAGAATATTGTAATGATCAATCATCCTCCCAATAATATCTGAATTGATGCTATTTGTATTCAGTTACTCTTTCTACTGATTTCACAAGATTTATAGAAGAAGTCCCTTTCCTCATCCACTTGTTCCAGCTGCTTGGATCTTATCAGATGTGTGTGTAATTGTTCATTTTCAAACTTCAGATAACACTGGATGCTGAGTGAAACTCTACTGGATCAATTACTGTAACCAAATACACACATTTCACACTCGCGCTGTCTGAAGTGTGATAAGGAAATGAAGTGGGTATGAAATGCTTCTTTCTCACCCGTCCTCGCCCACAAAGCTGACGTAAAGTTTACTCCTCTGCAGGTCTTTGCGAGAGTAACACATGATCTGGTTAAAGGCGTCCTCCAAGAGGTGATCCCTGCGTATGATGAGCCTGGAAACATCCAGAGACACACATGAAAAACACACGCACAGATCCATTAGTGTTGGACTTGGTGTTCATTGTAATGTTTTGTGGCCATCTTTCCAGGCCTTTTGTTGCAGCTTTTGTGGCCAAGACCTCCTTTCTCATGTTTTGCTGTTGTTTACAATCCGACCATCAACTTGAGAAGTGAGAATAGAAATGGTGCTGAGAAACGCATTTGATTCGATGCATTCTGCATCTTTTGCTCACTACACGGATTGCTTTACTTCCTGAATTCAGCCAATGACCCTTGAAAGGCTAGTGGGCGATACTACTCGTACTACAGACAAGTTCAGAGAAGTTCCAAAAGAGATACAATGTTGTTTTTATGTAATATGTTTGTGAAGCATGTATTGTTTTTAATTGATGTTATATTGTCATAATGTATGTTGTTAGACCTTCCTGCCCAAGGACAACAGATGTAAATGAGCGATATAGCTAACGCTGGCCCAATCATGTGTTGTGCATGGCATGTGTCAACCAAACCAAACATAAGAACACTAAATGCTAAACCAAACAACACTTTTCCAAAATCTGATTACCCACGGATCCTGTCTTTTTATGCAGAATCTGTAATTAGAAATTTAAGGTTTGAGAAAAATCCATCCTCTCTCTCGTCTTCTTCCTGCTCCACTTTTCAGAAAATGTGTGCTCAAACAGGCCGTTTGGAGATTTTCCCTTCCTGACTTTCTTTCCCCATTTCAAAATCATCAACAACCCTACTTCCCTAGCTCTTTCCACTTCGTCCACCATCATGTTAGCTAACCCTGCAGTCGGCTCCAAACTTGCACCAATGAATCTGAGGGGGTGTTTGTCGCTGACTCGCTGAGTGACTAAATGTGACAAACGCACAGCCTATGTATTTATGTAAGGTTCAGAACAGTAAACACTGTAAACTACATTAAAGGCCTCTTCTTCATTTACAGAAAAAAAATGAATCAGTACTAAATAAGACATCTATACATAAATATCTTGTAGTTGTAGTTGTATTTAAACCTACTTGACTTTTCCCGGTCCCTGCCCGTAACCCTTGGTCTCCAGCTTCCGATAGAAGTTCCTCAATTTAGCCTCAAAATCTCGTTTATAGGGAGCAGGAGCTCGGGCGTTTGCTCGCTGGGTGCCTGAGATATAAATGAAAGAGAGAGAGAAAGAAAGAGAAGACAAAAAATGACAAAGAAAGTTTAATGCATAAAGAAAGTAAGACACAGGCACAACAGAGGGTGTAGGTAAAAAGCATAGAGATGTATATTGATCATTGATTTATGAATTCATTCATCAGTTCTCCTCAGTTTATTTTGAATCATAAAATTTAGTTAATATGTTTATCAGCTGATTTTAAGGGAGTACAGACAGAAAACTAAGCTTGCTTGTGTCTGTCCAGTATATATGTAGCAGGAGTCAGTGGAGGAAGGACTGTGAGTGTTCAGTTAGAGTGATGATGTTGTTCGATAATGTTAGACTGATTTCATCCTGTGTTCTCTAGAAACCCTCTCCGAACATTTTCTTTAAATAGACAATATAAACCAAATCTCATGGCGGAAGGCGTGAAATTTAATCAAAAGGTAAGAATTTAATAAAGGAGAGAAAAGATGTATCATGCCAATAAAGACGATGCAAACACAGATTGAGACAGAGACTTACCAGGGGAGCTCTGAGGAGAGGAGGCGGAGAGGCAGTGACTGGGGTGGAGTAATGGCGGGACATATGACATCACCTCCTCCTCGAACAAGCTGGAGACACAGAAGAGGTGCACATACAAAACCAAGTCAGAAAGACACAGGCATATAAGATAATCATAATAATAATATAGAACTGTAGTTATTAAAGGTTTTTTTTCTGTGTCAGGCTAAACATCTGGCTACGCTACGTAAATAAAGGACGCAATCTTTTCATGTAGAGCGTAAGCTTTTATATTCTTCCATAAAATAAACATATTATGGCAGGGAACTTTTTTGGTGTCTCACGATTCGATTTGATTTTGATTCTTGGGGTCACGATTCGATTCAGAATCTGTTTTCGATTCAAAACGATTCTGGATTCGTGATTCAATGTCTATTTTTGAATTAGTACATACTTCAGGATCTACTCCAGTCATCTGTGAGACTGGCTGAATTTCTTGCTGCTTCATTTGGAATTCAAAGAGTTAAAGAACTAGCATTAGCAGTTAGCAGGGAGAGACTGATTAGATCGATTTTTGGAAGTTATGAATCGATTTAAAGTCTCAGAAGATAAATCGATTTTTCTCCCCACCTGTAAAACATACTATTATGTTTTAATATTCTAAAGAACCGTACCTTTAAAAAACAAACAAACAAGTCATCCATAACTTCAGTGTAGCGAGATATTGATTATTTCTCAATTCCCAGCAAAAAGGATAATAAAAACCTCAACGGCCCTCACAAAATACAGTATGTTTTTATTCTTCCAGACATGTTGGCAAAAAAGCTGATCTGACAATAAAGGACCTTAAGGATTTGAGATAAATATATACATGAAGAAAAGGCTATCTTTAGCATAGGTAGATTAAACAGATATGAACAATGTGGTGTCTCAAAGAGGAGCTGGGGCAAAAGCTGAAATTTAAACAAGTGACCAGTAACCAGTGCACTCACACACAAATGTACACACACACACACACACACACACACACACACACACACACACACACACACACACACACACACACACACACACACACACACACACAGACCTCACCTTAACAGCATGACGAGGTCAGCGTCGCTGGAGAGACGAGACAGCCCATTGACTCCCTCAGTGCGGATAAACTGCACCTTCTCCCTGCACACACACACACACACACACACACACACACACACACACACACACACACACACACACACACAGACAGACAGACCCAGACACACACACATTAGGGGGTAAACTGACACAATCCATTAGGATTAAAGGTTAACTGGGCGTTCAGGTTGACTGATGATGATGATGATGATAATGGAGGACTGCTGGGGAGGAAGAGAGAGAGGGAAAGACGACGAGAAGTAATGAAACATAGAAGGAGGAAAAACAGAGACATACTTGAGCGAGTGGTTCCTTGCGAGCTCAGGTTGTCTTTCCTGCAGGATCTCAACGATGTTGGGTTGCCGTAGAAACGCCACTATCTTGTCATTGTAGGCTGAAGAAATGAAAAAGGAACCTGCATTTATATCTTTGTTTAATGTGGGTTTACGTTATATTGATGCATGTGTAAAACCGGATTCTGCCCGACTTACCCACAGGCACCACATCCGGGTACTGACTCCGTGAGCCGCTGAAGGTGCTGGAGGGGCGGGGCATGACGGGCGGGTTGGGCTGGCGAGAGTCGTCCACTACCTGTGACAGAAGAAGACACTACAGTTCAGGTCTCATCCTAGTTCTGAGACAGATTCACGTTCCGGTTTACAATCGCCCAAGATGCAATTTGTATCCATTCAGTCAAGTACAGAACAAATACCAAGTTGTGAAGATTAGAATAATATGACATAACAACACAACTTGTATGGCGCTTGTATGGCGCTATGCTAGGTGGCAGCTTGTTGTAACATCTCTCAAATCAACATTTTGACATTTAGCATCAATAAAGTCCTCGACGCTTAAAGAAATTCAAGATTCAAGATGGCAGCTTAAGAAAAATCTTCAAAATAAACAATTGACTATGTGTATCAAAAAGCCAAACCTGTACAACAAACTATACAGAGGTTATTTTTCAGCAAAGACAGTTATTCATAAAAAATACTTAAATCCATCAGAGAAGATTTCTTTTGAACAGAACATTACTGGCTACATCAGTGAGGACAGGACAGACAGGCATCAGTACATTTTATTTTACTGCGTTTCATCGTCACAACACGTACATTTTGGTTGTTCACTCGAGATCTCAACTCATTTGTCTTATTATCTCGGAATGTCAATGCTTGTTTTCCAGCCAAAACTAGAATAATGAACAACAACAACACAGTGTTTCCCACACATGGACGATACCTGGGCGGGCCGCCTAAGTATATTTATGGCTGCCAAGTATATTTCCGACCTGTTTTTATTTATTTTTTAATTTATTCATTAACCTTCTGCACTTATGTTAAAGAGAGATAAAACTAAAATTAATTTATTTTGATATAAATAAAAAACTAATTTAAAACAAACCCTAACCCCCCCCCCCCCCCCCCCCCCCCGCTAACTCCACCGCCCAGGGATCTCATTCTGTGGGAAGCACTGCAACAGCTCTACAATTCATTTAGCAGACACTTTAACCCGAAGTGACAGACATCCGAGAGTAATTAAAACACAATCAAGGATCTGAAGGGGAGGAAACAGCGTCAGTGAGTGCAAACCAACAGCAGTGGTTACAGGCATTAAGGTACAGAGAAAGCCAATCTTTACGCTTAAGTTCTTGTTTGCTTTTGTAAACCATAAAGAGGCATCAATACTAATTTCAGCCTCTTTCACAACCAGCTACAAACTCCTGACAGGAGCCTTTTTAATGAGGTAAAAAACAGTTATCTATTATGTTAAAGGTATCCTGACTCATTTATATAATTCCTCATTTCAGTAGAATGTAGTACCGGATGAGAGGAACGTTATAAATTAACTGCAGTTAATTTCCTCCGATGCCTTAACGTGCATTTAGGAGGAGCACAGTTTTCTTTGCTTGTTGACTCGACTACAGCAGGATAACTTCTCCTCCTGTGCCCATAAAGCAGAAACACACTGAGCATCTTTTTCCATCTCCTTCATCCTGGCCTCTAAAAAACATTGCAGTGTCTCTGTGAGCTTTAAGTTGACTCCAGGTGACAAGTGGTGCAGTGGGGGCTAGTCTCTCACCTCCCCGGCGCTGTGGCTGCGCTGGCGGCTCAGGTGCTGGCGGTGGGCCAGCAGCCCAGTGGAGCGAGAGCTCTGGAGGGGCAGGCGTGGGTCAATGAAGGTCGTAGAGCGACAGTTGTGATCCACGAAGAAAGGCTGAGGATTGAGATGCAAATAGCAACAATCATGTATAAAAAAAGCTCCACTGTATGTGCTCTGAAAACAAATCCTCACTTGCAGCACAGTGAGAGTAAGGATGAGAGGAAAATACTCGAGGACAACCGAGAAAAGACTGAAATCAATAAACCCACACAAACTTTGGGGTCGAGGTCAAATCAAAGGTTTAAAGTCAAAGGGAAGGTTTACACGCTCACAAAAACACACACACCTACCTTCCCAGTATGGTCGTGCTTCATCTCCCAGCCCCGGGGAAGCTCCAGCTGTTTGTTGGAAAACATGTTGAGGAAGGTGACGAGGTCGCGGTTGTGCTGGTAGCGCTCAAAGTAGTGAGCGTCCCGACGCACCTTACTGATCATGTGCTTCAGGCAGGTGTTGCTGGTAAACATGCGGTAGGCACTCTGGGCAGAGAGGACAGACGGGTGAAGTTAACACAAAGGGATAGGAGGGAGATGAGAGAATAACACTTCAAAGATGGAAAACGATCTGTCATAGTGTTCTTAGGAATGTGCAATCTTTATCCATGGTATTAACCTTAATTGAGATAATAAAGTCAAATGCCAGTTGTGTATTCTGACGTGATTTGTGTTTGTGCATGTTTGTGTATCAGTGCTGCATAAAGCATGCACTGCACGGACACAAAAGGAGCTCAAAATAGTCTCATGTAGTCAAATTTGAAAAATGAAATAGGTAAAACTTTATCTGTACTGTCACTTTATTTTAAGATAGTAATTTATTTATTTATTCTAATGCTGGCCTTGGTTATTTAACACACTTAATATGCCTCTACAAAGAACTTGCTTTACAATCAAGCACATCTTATACCAAATTTACCTGTTTGTCAAAGATGACTATTACACCAAATATTGTTGAAATGTTTGTGAAATACAAAAAGTTTTGAAGAGAAGCTATTGAAATGATTGATCACTGTTTGTGGGCAGTCCATCATGTCAAACACTTGCTGACAGTGGATGATTGAAGGCAGGGTTGGTAATATTTTTAAACTAGCATGATTTTGAAAGTAGCATTCCCTCAGTGCTCTGTCTACACCCCCTCCCCTCTGTGGTCCCTCAAAAGCCACGCCCCCTCACTAACATGCACGAGCGCTGTTGCTCTAGAAGTGGACCTCAGCTCATCACTTGCATTGTGTAGAAACTATGTCGTCTCATGTCTCATTCAGCGGTAAGTGAACTCACAGTATAAACTCTGTCATCAGTGACTCGTTTTGAGTGTGAGCTAGTGTACGCAAGGAGTAGAGAACAAGCAGGGAGACAGGGAGGCGCCTGATTGGTTCATCAGATTGGTACCTCGTGGCAGACATTGGTCAAGTTTTACAAGCTTACAACTGCTACAGATGACAGATTTTCTTCATTCCTTTTTAATTTCTGTCAGGTCCTAAAGACAATTTCAAACAAAATCTTAAAAAGTTTATCTGGAGAAAATTACCAACCATGCCTCTAAGGCTCATTAATCAGTCACAGTGATGAGTGAGTTTTCATCAATATTTCCGACTTCGTTTTAAAATATATGTTGACAGATGTTAAAAAAAAAGGCACAGGGTTACAAGTGACAGAGAAAGTGAAGCGTGAGAGACTGACGGGGTTTGAATGCAGCACTGTGAAGAAGTCGGGGCTGCACAGGAACTTGGCGCTGGGGGACTGCAGCAGCAGGGAGAGCCGCGAGCGACCACTGGAGTGAGCGACTGCACTGTCTCGTCTGTACTCTGCAACAAAAGCAACACACACCGCTCAGAGAAGAGAAGCAGATCGCTGAGAACACGAGACATTTTATTATTACACATTCAAGCTTTCTCTTTCAGGGACTTTGTGAGCAGAAAAGAAATCGTAATTGTATTGAGTGATGAGTCATGTAATTGATCAAATGAAAACAGAGCTCTTGTGAATAAAGCCTGTCATTTTTCTGTTCCTGTTTTCCTGTTGTTATTAATCTGTTGAAATTTACCAGAAATGGAGTGAGGCAACAGTTCGCTATCTGATTCAGGCAGCAGCTCAGGCGGAGGTTCTTCTGCCCGATCACTGTTGGTGATGGTCCTCCTGATGCTCTGGTACCTGTGATCAAGAGTAACCATAAGATCATCCTTTAAATACAACGATGAAAAGGCATTTTGAGTGGAAACAGATTACCAGTAATACAACAACTTTATATGTCCCCACTTAAAGTCTTTGTATGCCTCTAAGAGCAGAACAGAAAACCCCAGAGGCTTGAGAAGATAATCCATAACAGAGAAAAGGTCTGAGAGGGGATACGTTGTTTCCTGGTTTGTTTAAAGCTCTACTGCTGATCTTAGTGCTTGGTTTAGCGAGATGCGATATTATTTCTATACCTGTTCTACCACCGAGAACTAAACTGAAACATGATAGGTTTTTTAAATTTTTTAAATTTAACCTTTATTTAACCAGGTAAATAATGGTTATTATACATCTCTCTTTTAGAAGGCACACCTGCGGTTGAGTTGCTCCATCTGCTGAATGGAGTTGGATCGGGTCAGGCCCTGCGGGGCAGGAGGCCCGGTGGGACGCTGCCATGTGGTGGTTCTGTTCACGTGATCCACAAAGAAGATCCTGCCGTGGCTGTCAATCCGAGCCTCCCAATCTGAGAGGAAATTAATAATTGATATACAAGTAGGTGTTCAAATAAATACTGTAAAAAGAGATTTTAGTGCAAATATAGAGTGCTTAAACCTCCAAGTTAGTGAGTGTTACTGAAATGATATTAAGCTGGTGTAGAGTTTACCAAACCAACTGTGTTCGCTTTTTTGCTACATGCTAATTTTTGCACCAGCTGATGGGAATGCAGTTACTTATTCGTCAATCTGAATGTCTTATGGGAACATTTTGTAGTCGAGGATTTGTAGTTTATTTTGTTGCCAGACTGTAGTTTAAATGGACACATATATCAGTGAAAACAGACAGGTCAACACACAAAGACACACTGCCACAAGCATGTGGTGGTGTATACAGATACAATAGACAAAACGAGACATGCAGACACACACACTCACTGGGAGGGAGAGGCTCGTCCACACGTTGGTATCGGTGGATGTCATGACGCACAGAAGGAAGTGAACGTACAGGATGGCCGTTGACAGGAGAACCTGAACACACAACAAAAGACAAGGTGTTTGTTTAACTATGGAGAAAATGATGTAAATTATGTTTGAGTGGTTCAGTTTTGTTAACTTTAGAGAAACAGAGACACCTGAACCTGAACTCTTCAATTTCAAAAATTCCTTTGAATAAATCTTCTGTCAAACAACAGTCATTAAAAATCCAATACCTTCCTCTCCATCTGTTTCCGTAGTGACTTGCTCTGAATCCAGAGAGCCCACCTCCTCATTCGGCTTTGACCCCGCCCCTTCTGGTTCTTCAGCCACGCCCCCAGCAGCCTGCATGCTCAGCCTCCTCACACTGACCTCCTCGACCTGGTCTGGCGCGCTGGTGGGAGGAGCCAGAGGAGCCGCTCCAGCCTCAGCGATGCTGACTGGCCCACCACCTTCATCGTCTACAGCCTGAGTGGTTGGTGGGATGTTAGAGACTACCTCTCCCCCTGGGTCGATGGCCGTCTCTGCTCCTTCCTCCGCCTCCTACGGGAAACCCCACAAATACAAAAACAAGTGAAAACACTGGAGGAAAAAAGATAATCATATAGAAATTCAGCCTCGCACTGACAGAGTGTACAAATGTATATTTAAGACATTCACACACACTGCTACAAAACATCCTGAATAACAGAAAGCCAATAAAAATGGAAGTTCACAACATGAGGCAGCATTGGCTCCATCACCAAGGAAACAAAATGAAGTTGAAAGAACTGAAGTTCATGTAAACATTCAGTGATACTGTATGTAGGCGTTTGACTCTAAATCACATGAAAACTGGATACACAAACCAGTTCACACTTACAATCTGTTCAAAGATCTTTCTCCTCGCTCAATACACGTCAGGCGAGATGCAAAAAGATTCTCAAACTTACTAACTGTGAAACTGTGCATCTAACAGCTTGTATTGAATAATGTATTATGGTGCAGTGTCACACAAACACAGCTGGGGCTAGGACCCAGAGGAGAGTGCTGCTCGGTACGATGTGTGCGCTGTGGGGACAGTAATGACACGCTACAGTCACAGCAGAGTGGACTGTAGCTTCACTCTCACTCACAGGTTCAGAAAAAAATACATGGTAAGATGATTAATGAAAAAATAAACATATTAGAAAAGGGTACGGGAATGTAGACATACTTTGGAAATCTTGTATAAATCATATATCGGGCAGCCTTTTCAATATGGGATACATATGTGTATGTCTTTATCTACAGAGCTCACACTGGTCATGTGTTGTATTATGACTTGATGTACAAGATGGTAACCTACTCAGGCCCGGTTAGTCCTGGAGCAGTGTGAGTGCAGGCCAGCGTGAGGAATGGGGATGGGGGACAATTGTGCTTAACGGCACGTCACGGGACAACTTTGCCTAGTGTGAGTGCGCCCTAAGTTGACCGTCAAACGGGCGAAACCGACCTGAGGAGGAGAATATGTTTACCGATGAGCTAATGTATCAAAGTATAATTTACATGACGTTTTTATCACAGCAGCACAAACAGCAACAGTGTGGCAGCTTTCAGTAGCAGCTCCCGCTTACTTATGTAGCGGTCTTTGACGTGACATCCGGTGTTTCCATGGTAACGATAAACATGTGGTGTCTGTCATGGCGGCTCTGTCGTGGAGGCCATCGCAACAAGACACATCACGTAACAACTTTAAATTACAGATCTCTCTGGCTTTGGTAACTATTGGAAATATTTGAGGTAATGTAAGTACTCAACAAAAATAATATTCAAATAGATATTTTAATTAATTATTTTTGGCTCCTGCTGACTACTTAATAGAATAAGATAAAAGATAAAAAAGTTTAAGGAGGCGTGATAAACACACCTGTAAGAGCTCAGTGATGCAGTAAGGTGGGAAAATGATGCAAAATGTATATTTTTTGTTGGTTTACAAATTAAAACTGAAAAACCCTCCACTGAATTTATCCCATTTTGACAATGACACGTTAAAGTTTTCTTGAATTTGAAAATTTGTGCGTCAGGTTTTCTTGCAGGTATTTGCTGATGTGATTGGCTTGTGTAACTCTGCACGTTTATTGTGTGTAATGTAAAACAGCAAACACAGAGAGACTGTAGTGCTGAGCTATAAGTCGATTAATAAATAAATACATTAAAAACAACCACTGTTTTGTTGACCTTAACAGAAAGTTAAACATTTTCTGTTTCTAGGATCTCAAATGTGACAGCTCTATGCCTTCCTCTGGGTTTGAGATTAATATTAAGTTGTGTTTTTTCCACTGAAAATCTGCAGTTGACATTTAATAAAGATAATAAAAATGAGCCGCAGTCATAAATGGAACCCCGATGGTTTCGCACTAATAGAACAGATATTTAATCTCCGATGGTGATAAAATGATAATGAACTCACCACAGCCGTCGTCAGTGTGATTGGACAGCTCTCTGATGATGAGACGACAGTCTGCTGGGCTGTTGCCATGGAGCAGGTGTCAATCTCTGACGAGGGGTCCTCTATACCCCCCCTATCTTCCTCGGGCAATTCTCCACCCTCTGTCAAAACATTATGGGACATTGCCTCTGTGAAAGGAGTGTCGTCCACCTCGGAGAAGACGTCTGGCTCCAAAAAGTCATCCAAGTCCAAACCCGCCCCCATCTCCAGAGCCACCACGGCCTCAGGAGGTAAGTCACCTGCCGTATCACCTGCACCCCCAGGCTCCTCCTCCAGCACTGAGGGCTCCAGCTGCTCTGGCTCCTCGTGGATCTCAGGAAATGGATCATCTTCATCAGGAATATCTGGCGGCTCCCCATTCATCAGCAGCGGTGACAGCGGCGAGGGAGTGATGTCATTGGCCCCGGACCTCTCGTCGTCTTCGTCTGAATCGATGTGCAACATTGCGCTGAGCCTGGTGTGTGTCGGAAAGCTAGAGCGTAGTTTAGGTGAGGCCGCGCCCAGGGGTCTTTCACCGGGACCTTTGGGTGCCTCGATAGCATCCAGGCCCTCGATGAGTGACCTCTGAAGCATCTCATGGCCTGACAGACTTTCAGCGTCTACATATCTGGCCTCGGCTCCGATAAGACACAGGTCCTTCTCTGGATAGGCTGAGGCCCCGCCTTCCCACGTGCCCTGTGAGCCCTGCGAGCCAGTAGGCGACGGACCAGCAGAGACCACTGATACAATATTTACTCCTGGAAGATGATGGGGCAGATCCTCATCATCGGATGGAGTCCCTGGAGCTCCGTTCAAGGACGACATGCCGATGATAGAATCTGGAGAGGCGCCTGCAGGAGGCAGAAAGGTTGTATTTCAGTGCTGAGGAAGACAACTTCCAAAAAAAGAATGACGTAGTGGCAAAAATAAATGTAATGCTGGTTTACCATCTGGTCCTGTTGATGTGAGCTCCACTTTGAACTGTAACTGTCCACTCACATGTTCAGTGGGCAGTCGTCTGCACAAGGAGAAACTCACTGGCTGAACTCTGGAAATCAAAACAAAATTAAAAACAGGGATAGTACACCATGATTTCTGTGATCCTGCAAACCTCATATAGTGAGGGACTGCCAGGCGTGGAAAAACCGGAAGATTTAAAGGGCCTAGTGGAGCCAAGCCATTCAGTGCTTCAAACTGTGCAACCTGAAAGAACAATTCTGAAGTGTGTTGGGAGCCAGTGGGTTCAAATCCGGCCTCAGCCCTGTGCTGCATTTCATCCCCTCCTGACTGACAAAAGGTCAAAAAGGCCTAAAAATAACTAATAAAGCAGACTCTACATGTCATTCATTAATGCCAAAAATCTGATTTTTTGTTAACTTAATAACACAGCGTTGCAACCACCAGACTCCATTGACAAAAACGCTAATTCAACCTCCTGCAACAACCTTGCAACACGGGAGGATCTGGACCACCTCTTTGTTTTGGTGTTTTCTTGGATGTGATTTTACACTTTAAAACAGCCAAATCACACAATAGCAACAAACTAACTGATTTAGGCAGCATTAGACAGGCAGCTTCGAATGTTCTGTGAAATCTAAAAAAAAAAACATAAATATTGTGAATTGAGTCTGGTGGCTTATAAGAGAGAGATTTGACTGGTCTGAAAAGCGTATAATTGAAGTATAAAGGTCTCTGCAGGGAGCCTTTCTGTCATTTTGTCAGACAAATTGAAGAACAGTCTGAGTCGAAAACACAAGGACTGTTAGAGGACTTTCATTAACTGGCCAAATCTACCCCAAAGGATAACACTGGAACCATTACAGCACGTCTCACCACTGCCAGCTGAAGTGTACTCGGACAAATCCACGACTCTCTGTACCGATTCATCATTAAGACCTCGAAACAAATAAATCATACAGCCTCACTAAAAAGAAAAAACATTAATTTGATGATGAAGTCATAAAATGTGTCCTCCTGTCCTTCTCCTGACTGAAAGTATGCGTGTGTGTTTATTTGTGTCTGCAGGAGGAGTCTTGTGTTTATTACATACCCAGGTATTTTTTCAATAAGTCTCTGCACAGGGATAGTCAGCTGACCGAGAAAGCGTTTGATGATTGGTCGACTCTTGGCAAACTTGTCCTTCACCTCGATGTACAAAATGTCCGTCATTAGTGCTACGAATGTGTATTTCTGCAAAGAAGGCAGAAAAATAGATGGTCAGTCCAGTCCCATATTACACTTCATGAACGATGATGAGGTAGAAGCTTAAATGTCACCTCTCCATGCCAGACGGGGTTGGTGGTGTTAGCGATGATGGCTGAGCGTCGTTCCTGTCCGTGGTGGCTGAAGATGGGGAAGACGCTCCTCTTCCCCGGGTGGATGGACATCTTCAGGTACGGATCAGGGTTGAAAAACATCCCCTTCTTCAGGCCGAGGGCCCTCAGATCTTAAACAAGCAGGAAGTAAAGGCAAGTTAACAGTGATGCGCTCTTTAATTAGCATCGTGCAGCTGGCTGTATATCAAAGTGCCTGTGTGACCTTTGGCTCATGTGGATTTGACTGAGGACTGACTTGGTTTTTTGTTATTTCTTTACAGAGAAAAATATTAAGATATATATCGTATGTCACCATCCAGCTAATAACTACACTTTACTCAATCTCCACGTCCAGACTGTTCTGATTTCTGAAGTATTTTGAACAGCATTGTGTTACAAACTACTTCTTAGTTCATTTTCATTTTACAACAGCAGTTAAAATTTCAAAATGTTAACGTCTAAACTCACCTGTCAAAGTAAAGCTGATCAGTTTTCTCGGATGTTCGACGCCCACCTGTTCTGACAGCCCCTCCGCCTGTAAAGGAACAACATCACACTTTTCACACCACAGACACAGACACAGAAACATATACAGTCTACCACAGCTGTCTTTTAAATTCACATAAATGAAGATGCTAATGCAGAACCACATTTATGAGGGGGGAATTCAACTAACTGGATGGTATGAAACCTCGTAGCACCTACAAACCAGGACTCACATACCAGGCTGCACTTCTCTGATGCTCTATTATATACAAATCATGTGTATTCTAAATTACTTTCTAAGACTTCTAGATGAATATACTTTCAGACCGTTTTCAAGCCTTTTGTTCATACTTATTTCAGATCAAAAATCAACTCTAATGAACTTGAATGGTGTGATTCCTCTCTGATAGTTTGTTGCATTTGAAACCATTAAACAAAACAATATGAGATAATTCAAAAGTTCAAGAGTTTCACTATTCACTTCTTCTAGGGAGTCAACAAACACAAAAATTCAGTCTTAAACGTTTCTGAAATTAAAACAAATTATTCAATATCATCTTCACATCCAGTGTCTAAGTTTAACCATGATGATAGTGACACTGACAAACACACACATGAACACGCGCACACACACGCACACACACACACACACACACACACACACACACACACACACACACACACACACACACACACACACACACACACACACACACACACACACACACACACACACACAGAGACCAGTACTGTAGGATTCTTCACGGTGATGCAGGGCGTCGTGGCTCTCAGGGCTCCGCTCACTCCGTGGTAATATTTAAAACAGATCTTAGTCTCGGCTGCAGAGAAAGCAGCAAAGAGTTATTGGGATGTGCGATCCTGCAGAGTGCATGTAGAATACACTTCATGAGTTTGAGGATGAATATATTTCATGAGATGTTGTGATCAGCGTATGGGAATCTTTAAAGAAGGGGTATGATACTGTTCCACGTTTCTCATACTTATTGTTATAATGCTGGACAAACATAATTATTATGACAAAGTTTAAGATCAGTAGTTAAAACGTGTCGGAGAAATCTCAGTCTTCAGAGCTCAGTCTGCAGTCTGCTCTCAACACAAGGTAACAGGCAGTTTTTTCTTCCATAGTGATTTTGTGACATCACAAAGTCACAGAAATCCTTATATGGTCATATGCCTCAGACACAGCTGAACAAGGAAGCACCCATGTACCCAGTGTTCCAGAGTGCTGGCCAATCAGTGGATAGTGGGCTTTTGGGGAGAGGGGCCTTAAAGAGACAGTACCTATTATTGCCCATGTCAAACAGAGGCTGAACTTAGGGTTTTCACAGAATAATAAGGGTTTTAATTTTAAATCATGCAACACTACTACAGAGGCTCCACAGAGATAAAATATTAAAGTTGTAATGTTTATAATATGGCCACTTTAATATTGTTTTACCTTTATTACAGTAATACATAAAAAATCTTAGTTATTTAAAGGGTAAAAGGAAGTTGTGTTTTTCGCAGCTTGGTTGACTTACGCTCCATAAAATAGGCCCCGGGCTCCAGCCTCCAGACGATCTGACCCTTCTGGGTGCCATTCACTCCTCGGTTTTTACAGTCCCAAACGTTTGACGGATTGGTTTCATCTGCAGAGGAGAATAAATGTTAGTTAGACCGCAGTGTGTGTTGACTTTGTCTTGAGAAAAATTGCGCACTTGCTGTGTAGACATTCCTCCTGATTCAAACCAAAGAATGTTAAATGACACAACAGGAGACAATTGTATAAGTTCTGGGTCCCTCTCTTGCTACAACAAACTAAAAAAAGCTGCATCTGCTCATTCTATTAGTATGTTTAGTCTGCAGACTCTGTCTTTCAAAACACATGTTTGCCTTTAATCAGTGAAATCCATTCCCAAAATAGCCTCCACTCAACCTCTAACCAGAAGGACAAACACCAAACTTCCTCTGAGTTAAAAACATGGAGGGGGAATTCCGCTGTACATAGCACTTTTGCACACAGATTAATGAAGCACCAAACTCAGCTGACTGGAAAGGGAGGAGTGTGTGTGTGCAGAATATGTGTGTGCATAAGCAAGCCTGTGTGTGTGTGTCTGTGTATGTTTGAAGGGGAGGGCAAGTTGCTTATCATTGAATGTCTGCTTAGTCGAGGATAGTGGTAGCCCCTCTGGGATTTAAGACCCTGGTGCAGGTAATGAAGTCCTGGAGGCCTTATGATCGATATGAAGTGACCTGACGCCCGGCTCAGCACTTGCAGTCTACGCTATCTCTTTCTCCTAAACAGCAGTTTCACCTACAAGGTAAAGGTTAAGAAGACGCAGTCAACAAACAAGACCAGTGGGGCCTTGGAGGGTGGCAGAAACACAACAAAATCATTTGGAAAACACGTTTGAAAACTCTTCAACCTTTAATGTTTTGTTTTTTTCATGAAATAATGGCATGATGTGTCCAGAATATCCAGCAATCTGTTTTACTGCAGGTTTGTGTGACCTCTTAGAAGTCAAGCACATTCATTGTGTTCAGAAATCCATTATCCATTACTAACACAATACATCATGCTGCACAGCTCACTGACTGCAATTTTCCTCTAAATGACACTGTTTTAGACCGGCTATTATCTGGTGTGAAGAGACAACTTTGAGTTTCTGCTTCACTGTAAAATGCAATCTATCCGAAGTGACAGGGAGAAAAGAAACTTACATTGTGAAGGCAACAACCATAGACACATCTCTATATGATCTGTTTCGGGGGCTCAAACAACACTGGTTGTGCTGTTCAACAATAATTTAGGGAAATGGTAAATAGACTTGAGCTTGTATATTTCTTTTCTAGTCTTCTGACTACTCAAAGCGCTTTTACATCGCAAGTCACACCTACATATTCACACACTGATGACAGTGGTTGCTATGTAGTGAGACCAGAATCTGAACAGATCAGAAGTAACTAATCCCATTTATACACCCGGACAAAGCAGCGGCAGCAACTTGGTGTTGAGTGTTTTGCCCAAGGACATGTTCCTGCAGGAGCTGAGGATTGAACCCCCAGCCTACCAGTTGAGAGATGACCAACTCTACCACTGAGCCACAGCCGCCCACAAGGGCTGTTGTAATGTTCTAAATATATCCTGAAACACATGGAAGTGCTGGACATGTAACAAGAAGTCTTTCACATTATTACATAAAAACAAAAACAAACAAAAGTCAAAAGCGTCTCATTGTTCCATAAGTTGAAAATCCCAGTGATATACGAGCAAGACAAAGAGTAAGAAATCCAGCCTTTTGTCATATGAATGGGCCTTTAGTCCATTATCAGAGAGAGTCTCAAGTCTCAAGTTTTTACAAAATTAATGAATGCAATTTCAGACAGCCCAAAGTGACATCTTCAAAACTTCAAAACTTCAAAAGTTGTCAAAAATGTAATAATTAACAATCTGGAAATGGAAAATCTTGAGACAGATCATGAAGAGGACATGGTCAAAATTTGTTGCTCTAATTGTTTTTTCTTCAGTGTTCTTGATGATAATATCCAGAGCTCTTCTCTACACTTATTTTTCTGCCTTAACTCTGTTGCTGAACTATTTGTGAAACCTGCATGCCTTCGGGAGACGAGCTGTCTTGACCTGCGCGACCTTAAAGCCGTTCAGCTGATCCAAGTGTTTTATTATTGAGGGATGAGAGTAGCCAGGTAGAGTCCAACTCTGAGTCAATACTGCAACAGGAGCTGTTGACTCAACATGTAACAGCTCTGCCTCGGTATACAATAACATACACACCATCACAAAGCGTGCACAGCTCTCAGCTGAATGTGGGGTGGTCTCCAATAAAGTCCAGCTAATCCTGCTGAGAGACAGAATTTGACAGGGAGAAATACATTGAGCTGTGTGCTGAGGAAGGCTATCAGGCTCAAACCTTCAGGTGGATCTGTCCATCCTGGTGAAAAGTAATACAGGAGAAATACTGATCAACGAGCACCTGTGTTGTTAATCTCTGATTGCTTCCTGTTCTACACATATGACCACGAGCTGATGTTATCTCTGAGCTCACTGCTGATCCAGCTGTTTGCTGAATGCAGTAGTTGCTCTGAACTTAAGGATTAAAAATGAGTAATTAAATATTTCAGAATCTATAATAAATATCACATCAAATATAATAGTTTGGTTTGTTTGGTGCTTTTTCAAAACACAGAGCTATGCATATCATTGACCCTTCAGCCCTAAAATAGAAGAACAAATCAAAATACATGCGATGAACTAGTGACATGCATTTAGCTGCAGAGTTGATGTAAGAGAGACTGGTCAGGCCTTTACTTGACACCTCACTTCAACTTGAAAGCAAAATCAAGTCTGAAGTTCTGCACTTTTAAAGTCTCAGCATATTCAAATTAACTATTAAATTATCAACAGGAGGGCTTTGCATTGTAGTGTTTATTCTAAGGACTGCATTTCAGGTCTGCAGTAACAATATCAACAGGGCTTTAACAGAAAGTGTATTCATCGCTCAGAATTTTCACCGAAAAAAGGGTTAGGGTGAGTCTTGGCTCAGGTTTATCTTGAATCTTGAGATCATACCTGCACCTAGAGAAAAGTTTAAATCAGCTTCACCAGCAACAGAAAAAATCATCTCACCAATGTGGTAGAGTCCAATCCAGTCTGTAGCGTCCACCTCCTCTTTGATATCCCAGGATATGACGAGGTTCTGGCCACGGTTCAATGTGTACTCCAAAGTGGACGCCGTTAGCGAAGACCGGCTGTGGGAAGTCACGAGATCCGTGTCGCTGTTAGCTCGTGGTAGGCCGATAGGACTGCTGACCATAGAAACGGTGTCCACAGAAGCTCCGCCCCTCTCTGCAAGAGTTCGAAGGTTTTCTGGACTCAGTGTATGCCGGAGATGGGGGCTGCGCCTTCGAGGCGCTGACAGGTGTTCACGGCCCCCGACTGCAAGGTTAGGAGGATTGTGAGAACGGGTCCTTGGAGGTAGGACTGCTGTGGCCAGGGAAGGACGCATGGTGAACTGTTGGTAAAAGGGCAGCAACCAGGAGTAAAAACGGCTACTGAGAAGGCCCAAAACAGGCCGAGATGAGTCGGAGCTTCTTACGACTCGGGCTGCTGCGTCGACTCAGCTGAAATCCTCATGTTTGAAGAGCGTTTGGCCGTGACAGGAACCATACAGGAGCCTTAGAGATGATGTGTTGATTCCTTTGACACGAAAGCTCCACTTATCGTCTCTTTCGGTCTTTGCATCGTTACAAAACTGACCACGCTCATTTCATGTTCTCCAATGGCACTGAGGGACCTGAAGAGACACAGACAGGGAAAAGAAAGAGATTCATTATGAGGTAAAAAAAAACGCTCCAACAAAAGAGAAGAAAGGATTTCTAGCTGTTTGTTGCAACCAACCAAGGACTGAACACCCCTTGGTCATTGGTGAAGTTGTTTACTGTAAAAACCTGTTACCAAAGTAAATATCCCAGCAGAACTATTTTCAATACTCCTCCCTGTCTTCCTCTGACAACTCTTCTACTGAAAGAGGAAATGGATGTGCATAATTCTTTCTATTTGAATTACCTATCTTCATTGCCACTATTGTCATAATGGGAAGGAGTAAACACCTCTTCGATAAATCTATGAAACACTTAAAGTACATGTCACACATGCACTACACTCCTGAAAACTTCCAAACATGTTCGCTGTGGGCTGCATGTGTGAACACAATCTGTCACCCCGACAATATCTAGACTTCTTCCTCTTCCGAGAGAAGTCTGGGGGAACCAGTGTGTGAACACAGCAGTTTATATTCAGGAAACTCTAACATTTGAATCAACACAACCAATGAGAAATCTTTGGGATCTTTGTGAACATAATGAGGCTCTATACTCGTATCCGCTTGCCAGTTTGTTCTTTTCCGCTCTTTTGGTTGATAATGTGAATATGTTCAAACATGTAGCATTGATGTTAAGGTCATCATAGTGTCGTTAGCAATCTTGTGTATGTTGTAAACAGCTGCCAGGGGAAGACTGTCCTGAAATGTCCTAGAAGTGTTTAGAGCTGCATGTGTGAAAGGGACTTAAGTATTTATTATCCTCTGGTATGAAGAGACTTCACCACTCGGCAGAGGAGCGACCTTCATTTTGTCGTCAGTCATTTCCATGTAACTACTGGGAAATTAAATCTTCAAATAATCCTACAAACCTTTACACACACACACACACACACACACACACACACACACACACACACACGATTTACACATATCTGCATCTGTGCTTCTATGGTTTCTGTCAGTATAGGCCGCCTCGGTAAAAGGAGACAGGCAGCTGCATCTGCCTCCCAGGAAACTCTTCAATCAGCAAATGCCAGTTTGGGAGCCGTCTGGGGAGCGCTGTCTCCATCAGAGCCATTTTGTTTTTAAAGGGAGGATGGCATGTGACTTCTGAGTCTTGCCAAAGGCAGCTGGTTTTTTAGACAGGCTGAGAAGAAGAGTTTTTTTTGTGAGGGGGGGGGGGGGGGGGGGTAATATTCAGCTAATATGTGCCTGTTCAGTCACCGGAAAACTGTGTGGGCTTTAGTCTGAGCTAAGCCCTGATATCTGTGGCATTTTAAGTGGGTATATGTCTCAAAAGCTGAGCTGTCCAGTGATGCTTTGAAACCATCGCTTCCTCTGCAGGGCTCAGCGTGTGGGCTGCACTGTATGCAACGCTGTATTTAATAAAAACATGTGGACTGTAAAGTTAGGAGCCTTCGAATAAGCACAACTGTGAAACTGCACGCCTGTCACTCAGGTTTGAAACACTCAACACATTTCCTTTGTATATTTTGATACTGAACTAATAGTTTTGAGATTGGTGCTTCATGTTATATTGCTAAATAATAACTGACCCGGTCCAGGGTTCATTTTTTGTAATTCTAACAAACAGGGTTAAAGGATGATATCCAAGCCGATTCCTTAACGACAGAATACCACCCTCATATCAGTAAAGTAAAAATCACCAGCAGCCAGTTTGCTGAGCAACAAGAGAGGAAATGTAGGCAAAGAATCAGACAGCTATCCTGCTTAAATCTAACTCTTGTTACAAACTCTCTTTTGTAACATGCATGCACAAGAACTGTGGGACTGCGTGTCAGGATTTTAATCAAACTTGGGCCCAGATATTTTTAGCTTGTAACTGATTCGATTTTTTTTTTTTATTAATGTGTCATGAATAAATAATATGGCCGGCTTAAAATAGGCTTCAAAGACAGCATCATTCAGAAAAAGAGATCCAGAATCCAAAGTAGCATCAAAAATCCCAAATGCTGCATGAATAAACCATCGTTTCATTTTCCTCGAGGCTACTGAGACTAAAGCTGCCAACTAAGAAGAAAACTAAAACTAAAACAAAACTATCGTTTCATTCAGCTGTGGTGTTTTCACCTAAAACATCTCAGGTTTCTAAAGATATATTTCATGAACCAATGGGAATCTTAACCAAGCTGTAACCTCTGGTGTTGTACATGAAGCTGTGCCACGAGAGCAAAAAGGTGCAGTTCCACTTGAGGTGAGCTGCCATAGCCCAGCCATTAACAACCATATGTAATTCCCAGAAATTGGCACAATGACCCATTGGTGTGCAGTCACCTTTAACTGGATTACTTTGATACTGAAGAAAATGTTTAAATACGATGATTCCGATGGAAGTCCTGGAGTTATTGGAAGCACATTTCTTCTCTGATTTCTCTCTCTTGCTGTTTTAAGGATATTTATCCAATACTCACTTTGGAGATTTTTATAGTACATTTTCAGTAGTGTAAATATTATTGTCTATATGATCAGACTTTTGGATTTAAAGGAGTGTCTTTGTTTGGCTAACTGGAGCAGATTATACAGGATTTAATGGTTAATGGTAAATGGACTTGAGCTTGTATAGCACTTTTCAAGTCTTCTGACTACTCAAAGCACTTTTACACCGAAGGTCACACCTACACATTCACACACTGATGGTAGAGGCCACTGTGTAAAGTAACCATCAGAAGTTATTAATCCATTCATACACATTCACATGCTGCTGACAAAGCAGTGGGAGCGACTTGGGGTTAAGTGTCTTGCCCAAGGACACGTCGGACATGTTGCTGCAGGAGCTGGGGATCAAACCCCTGACTTTCCAACTGAGCCACAGCCGCCCCTCTTTTAATTAAATGTAATAACAACAATTGAGCTGTGTGTTGTAGGCACTGCTTCTGTTCACCTGTCCCTTTAACCTCACTATGTTCTCCATCCACAACTACACCAACTCACATCTGTCTGTACGTCATTCATCAAACTGACAAAAGGCTCAAATCTGAGGTCGAGGTAAATGCATCATATGGCACGCAAACTGCTTTTGGATGTCTACTTTGCTCTGTCATGTCATCCATCTTTCCCATCTTCTTCTGCCTTCAGTCTGGTTTGTAATCTAGTGACGTATCAATGTGAAGATAACAAGTAGAAGTAGTAGTAGTGTGTGTTTGACTGTGGAAAATCTTCCCCACGCACAGATTGGTAAATAATTTCCAAAGCAATTTCAAGGCAGTCTGGGTGTGTGAAAAATTGTCCAATACACGGTGTACACTGCTCCTGAGCTTCTGAATCAATCCACTTTGCATTTTGAACCGACTGAACAGAAATTATGAACCGGCCCCGGAGCTGATGTATGTGGATTGGCTGTGTTTCCATATAAACCAGGCCTGATATTGAAATAAAATCTGCTGCATTTGACATGGGGAAAGCCTGGACGCCCCTGACTCGACAAGATTACCAGAGCGTGGCTTCATCACAGACACACACACACACACAGACACACACACACACACACACACACACACACACACACACACACACACACACACACACACACACACACACACACACACACACACACACACACACACACACACACACACACACACACACACACACACACACACACACTGCATACAGGGGATTTATGGCGGAATAAAACCTTCATCACAGATGCAGGAATACGTAAATCCTGCTCACGTGTGTTCATGTTGCAGCAGAAGGGAGGGGCACATTAACCATCAGAAAAACAAACAGAGGTAAATGTGTGTTAAACTGCTGAGATGTTATATAATTGTGTGGCCCATGCAACCCTCCTCATGTGTGCCAGGCCTTAAGCATTGTAAACATTAACTCTAAACCTGCTGTGCAGCGGGGGGACGCTGCGGCTGCATCAGCTCAGCTCACATCAGAGTGGATGAAGAGTCTGTTGACCCGCTGCACGCAGCAGCACAGACCGAAACATGACCTCAGGGGAGGACACTGAACAATCTGGACTCGCCCAGCTCTTTTTCTTCTGAAATACTGCGTTTTCTTTTATAATCCTGACTCGACCGCCCTGCTCAGCTTTGACCTGATATGGGATTACTGATTGACTCTAGGCCTAAACTGACACAGATTAACAAGGTGTTACAGAAAGTAATTCAAAATGTATTTTGTGTTTCTACTTCTAACCACTAACATGCTGTTAAATTGGACACCTCAAGGCTTCATTCAATTGCGTAATTATTCAGGGGCGTGTCTGATTTGACAGGTGGGTGTGGCATAGCTGTGTGCCAGGAGGCTTCAGACCCACCTCAGCTCCTCCTCTTTGTCTGTTTCTGGATTTATAGAAAGTTAGGTTGATACAGCACTTCCAGTATGGAGATGGTTGAACCAATGGGCTATGCCACTGAGACTCCATGTTTTCTATGGTCTATGAGTGAATACTAAAAAGAGCCACATGTGCAGTGGAGGATCTGATGGAGTGTGGCAGAATGTGCTGGATTGCTGTGTAGCATTCCTGCAACAGGATGGCATCATGGAGGATCTGGAGATATTTGGGAAGTACAAATAACGCCGTCATTTGTGACAGCTGTGTGTTTTATAAATGGCGAGGCTGAATACGTCCGGCTTGCGTAGCGTCCCATGTGACAGGCGTGACTGACAGGCATCAGGGTAGCTGTAAGGCTGTACACCTCCCCTTACACACCTCATGCCAAGAAAAAAGATGTGCTGAATCTTCAAAATCACAGGCGCATGCACTGCTGTAAGCTGCACACACACAGACAAACCCACACTGAGCATTATCATACACACATCACACACATACCGCAGTGGCAAATGTTTTTCTTTAACAACAGCTGGTTTGTGCTTCTTATGTTTCTGTTACCCCTGGAAACTCTTAATCTAGAGTTAATCCAAAACTTTTACGACTAATTTGAGTTGTTATTTTTAGAAACATTAATTTCTGCCACTAGGAGTCTCTCAATCTGAACAAC